GCTTTTGAGCTCAGCCATCAAAATGTTTTCCAAGTGGCACTTGGAGGCATCACCGTCATTCCCAAACTGACAGTGAGTATGAATGGAGCATGAGGAGGTCCTGGCTGGAGGTTGTGCAGATGTCATCGCCACCCAGCAAATGCACAGGGCTAAAATTGAGTTGTCTGTGGGAAGTACCATACAGTTCCCTGTAAAGGCTCTAAAACCCCTAGTCCTCAGTGGAGCTGATCTCATTTGACTGATTTCTTTGGCTTGATGGCTTTTTAACTCTTGTTTGAGCAACTTTGTATCTACCCTTTTCCCTAAACTCTAGTCTTAAAACTGGCAAGGACAGCCCTCGATGCTGGGTGGTAGTTGTGGTTTAATGGTAATTCGAAGGCTGAAATACAGCTAAGATGTGACTTGAAGGAAAAGAAGAAAAATAAAAGGTGAGGACAAGCAAAAAATTACTCAGCACGCAGAAAAGCCCAGCTCCTTCAGAGAGGGGATGCTTGGCTTTGTAAAAGATGAGGAGTCACCAGAGCCGGGCTGGAGTGAAGGGGTGCATGCCCTCTCCATGGCCAGCAGGCCAGGGGCACAGGGGCTGGGACAGGCTGCCAGACCTGCAGGAGAAGTGACAGTCACAGGCCTACCCGAGAGACAGGAGGGTTCCCTAGCGCAGTCAAATGGCTCTGACCAGTTTTGTTGTGGTTTTGGCACTAAAAAATTTTCTATGCGTGTCCTGAACAGTCTGTGATTTTAGTCTCCAGAACAAACGTTCCCCCGTGTATTTGGTACAGGTGTCACAAGTCCATTTGCTGGCAGCAGTTTTGTTTGCCCATTGCTCATGTAACTGCTGCTGAAAGTGTCGTTCAGGTTTTCAGTCTTAGGGTGTAGCAGGATAGCAGAACAGAGACTGAAGGTGCCTAAAACCCCATGCTCTTCAGGGAGAGTCTCCAGCAGGAGCATGGACTTCCTAGTGTGTCCTAACTTAGTGGCTCTGGGAGTCAAGTGCTAGCCAAAGATTAAAGCAATCCTGAGCATTCCTGATACCTTATGTTGTGTATCTCCAGAGCTGCATGTATTTTGGGGGCACATACTTAAACCTTGTGTCTTAACAAAAAAAAAAGAAAAAAGAATAGGGGTCCTTGTGCCGCCAAGGCAGTGCAGTACTTGTTCAGTGTTCTGTGTAAGGCTACGTAGGGAAAAGATTAGAAAGGCCAAAGCCCAACTAGAGCTTACCCTGGCCTTGGATGTTAAAAACAATAAAAAGAATTTCTATAAATATATAAGTAACACAAGGAGGGCTCGGGAGAATCTCCATCCTCTATTGAATGCAGAAGGTAACATAGTGACAAAGGATGAGGTACATAATGTCTTCCTTACCTCAGTCTTTAGTAGTAGAGTAGGTTGTTCCCTGAGCACCCAGACCCCTGAGCCAGCAGATAGGGGCAGGGAGCAGAATGAAGCCCCTGTAATCCAAAGGCAAGTGGTGAGGGACAAACCTGATCTCCTTCTATGACAAAGTGACCCGCTTGCTGGATGAGGGAAAGGCTGTGGATGTTGCTTACCCGGACTTTAGCAAGGCCTTTGATACAGTCTCCTACAGTATCCTCCTGGAGAAACTGGCTGCCCATGGCTTGGATTGAAATCCCCTCTGCTGGGTTAAAAACTGGCTGGAGGGCCGGGCCCAGAGAGTGGTGGGGAATGGAGTCAAATCCAGTGGGTGGCCAGTCATGAGTGGTGTCCCACAGGGTTGGGTATTGGGGTTAGTTCTCTTTAACATCTTTATCAATGATCTGGATGAGGGGATTGAGTGCACCCTCAGTCAGTTCACAGATGACACCAAGTTGGGTGGGAGTGCTGACCTGCTGGAGGGTAGGAAGGCTTTGCAGAGGGATCTGGACAGGCTGGATGGATGGGCCAAGGCCAATGGGATGAGGTTCAACAAGGCCAAGTGCCGGGTCCTGCCCTTGGGTCCCACCAACCCCCTGCAGCGCTCCAGGCTGGGGGCAGAGTGGCTGGAGCTGCCTGGCAGAAAAGGACCTGGGGGTGTTGGTGGCCTGTGGGCTGAACAGGAGCCAGCAGTGTGCCCAGGTGGCCAAGAAGGCCACCAGCATCCTGGCCTGTGTCAGGAGCAGCGTGGGGAGTAGGACTCGGGAGGTGATTGTCCCCCTGGACTGGGCACTGGTGAGGCCCCATCTCGAGTGCTGTGTCCAGTTTTGGGCCCCTTCCCACAAAAAATACATTGAGGTGCTGGAGCGGGTCCAGAGAAGGGCAACAAAGATGGTGAGGGGTCTGGAGCACAAGTGATGTGGGGATTTTTTTGTGTGGTGGTGTGTGGTTATTTTTTTGTTTTGGTTTTGTTTTTTATCAGAGTGAGGTTGATGGTTGGACTAGATGATCTTAAAGGTCGCTTCCAACCTAGATGATTCTATGATTCTTTCCTTTAAATTTTGCACTGTGAAGAACAGGGTGGTTTCTGCTAGGCCACTGGGCCTGAGAAGAAGAGCAGGCAGTTACTGAACAGTGCCCTTTGGGGTTACTGTAAATTCTCCTGACTATTGCACTGTAAATACTCATTGTATGTAAACCTTTTATCAATTTCAAAGCCTTTTCAGATTTATCTGAAAGAAATTCGGAAAAGGTGTGAGTTGTTTGGCGAGGATAAGAGAGGTCCAGAATGGCTCTTGTAGATACTCTCTGATTCTCAGGTTAATTTGTCATCAATTACCACCTCATAAAACTTCGGTTTCTGGAATGGGAGAAGCAAACTGATTTTGATTTGTTGCAATCAATCCATTGTTGAAAGAGCTTTCAAATACTTCATCCACGAAGGACCTTCGTTCCTTATCTGTTTTGAGGGAAGGGTTTTTGCTATGGTGCTCTCCTATGGATATCTCAGGAGCTTTCCAAAGCAATCTGCTAGTTGAATGCTGCTTTTCTATACAGCAAGTTCCTGTGTCTGTTGTTCACCACTTATTAAATTAAGAAGTATATTAGATGGTTGAGCTACCAGGCTAAGCTTGCTGGGACAGAAAAGATGGATCCCTTTTTGGCACTATGAGTTACAAGCATCCTGATCCCTTGCCATGTGGTAGGAGTTCCTTGCTGTGTTTGCTCTCCCTCTCCCCTCCTGTCTGCCATGGGGTGACTCTGCAAGCCTTGCCAGATCCCAGCTGCTTGCTTTTGTTCATGTGGCTTATCTGGCTGTGCCTCAGCTTCCATTTGTCTTGGGGTGAGTAAGGCCAGAAGCAGCTATCCGTGTGTGATTTTCTGAAGGAAAGTTAAATCTTTGTCAAATGAGCACTGCCTCAGTGAGAGCTTTATGGAGATCTGGATAAATGAGGCTGCAGAGAGAAGAGATTCCTTATCTCCTCTTGTCCCTCCCATGCGAATAGTGCAGCTTATGGCAAACAGATGATTTCTATGAGAGTGTGAAGGACGATGCTTTTTGACTTCATTTGCTGTTTACCTTGTTCTGTGAAAGGTCCTTCAGACTGGGCACTTTAGCTCCCTGCCCTCTTCCTTTAACATGAGGGATGTCTTCCTGGCCTTTCCCTTTCAGCAATTACGCTGATCTCTGGATGTTTCCATTGAATCTGTTGTTTAGAGGCAAGATGCTGGTCTTGGATGCACTTTGGTCATTATAACTGTTCAGCTCTTTGGCTGTTTTTCATTTCAGTTTCCTTTAATGGTATCAGTTGGTAAAGTGTGTGTAAACGATAGGTACTTTCAAAACACATGTAGGCGAGAAGCTGATCTGTCGAAGTGAAGTGGTGGCCAAGCGTGGGGTCGGTGTATGGAGGCAGTGCAGGTCCTGCTGCAGAGCATCCCCAGCACTGAGTGCTGCAGGGGGGTGGGAAGGGGGGACACTGCTGCTGCCCCCTCTCCCACCATGCACAGCCTGGGCACGGGGCAGATGGTCTCTGTCAGGGGGCAGCGCCGCTACCCCGGCTGTGCCTTACCCTCGCCCCCACGTGCCTGGGGAGTGGGAAGCATTCGCTGCGCTTGTCCCAACCCCTCTGTCCTCCAGCAGACCCACCCTGCTCCCTGATGTCACCAATGTGCAGGAGGGTGTCCTGCCAGGAGCTGCTGCCTGGTTTTGCTGATACATTCAAAGCAGATGTCTGTGTTTGCACAAGCAGCAGTGTCTGCTGTTCGTTATCTAACTGGCAAATACTAGCATTGCTTTTGCTTTACACTCTTCCCAGGAGCTTTGTCATGCGTGGGCATGCGTGGACCCCTTCAGGTGCCATTGCTGAAGTGCCAGGACACCATCAGGGAGCTGGCCTCCCTTCAGAGGTCCTCACCACACTTGTGCTGGGGAGCCCTGGCCCCAGCCAGGCGGGCATGTGGTGGTCACTGCCTGGGCTCTAGCAAAACGGGTGGGAGAGGTACAGGGGCAGTCCCTCCATCCAAATCCAGATGATTTGCAGGCTTTTCCAGAAATCACCACATTGGTCCTACCCAGCAGTATGTTCAAGGTTTTGTTTTGAACTGCACAAGTTACAATTGTGTTGCTTTTTTATTTTTTTGAATGGCAGCTGGTGTTCCCATGAGTCTAAGAGCTGGCGTTCAAGGGCCTGGTGTGTGATTCCTCCGCTTAAAACCACCTCTACTTTGCCTTCTCTGAGCTTAGGGCTTTATACTGGCTTCTTTTTCTGCTGAATGCACATGGGTACATAGAAGAACATGAGTCACGAAAATGGGGAATCTTGTCAGCTGAATGAGCACCATTATTTAACGAGCCCTAATTCACTTTCCTCCTTTCCCATCTTTCTTAGAATATATCTCCTACTAAAGACTTGAAAACAACAGACTTCACAGAAGTGCATTATTAACTGGCCTTCTGATGGGACCTTAAATTCTTACTAGCATTTTATTATTAATAGACTGTAATGAAATTTATAGAACTCTTGGTAAGCGAGTGTTTGATGAGTGCATCTGTTTGTCTCATGTCAGTTGATAAAAACAAAACAAACTCATGCTGCTTCCCTCTTTTGATTTGTTTTTTGTAGCAAACCTTTCCCAGTGATGTCCACTCCATTGAAGAAATTTTGAAGGTGAGTACTCTTGAATAATAAATATCTCTGGGTTTGTTTATGTTTTGCATGCATTAAAGTGGGGGGGAGAGGAGGGAGGGAGAGGGGGAAATACTGCCCTGATTCTGCTCTGTCACACTAGAAGTGTGTTTAGGGGTGTGCTGTGGAGAAGTACAGATAAAAGTTAGCCTCGGGTATAGCTGGAGTTGTGAGACCAGTACATACTGGTCTTCATACCAGTATGTAAGTATAATACAGTGCAGTGCGGTCCAAGAGCAAGACTGACAAGTCATCTGAAACCACCAGAGCTGCTCCTTCGTCAGGTCAGGGTGTTGCCATTACTGAGCACGCGTCCTCCAAAGGTGCTGGGCATGCTGCCCTCCCGTCTGTGCTGCCAGCCCCAGCAGCATGGCCGTGAACAGGACCATGCACCTGCCTCCTTCCCACCCATCAGCCCATGGTACTGTTTCTGGGCTGCTTCTCCTTCTCCGTAATCCCAGTCCGTTCCTGCAAAGCCGAGCCAGCTGTGATGCAGTACTGTCTCACTGCGGGTCAGACCTGGCTGTGCAAACAGTAGCTGGTCACACTGATACCGAGAAGACAGTTCCTTGATGTCACATACTATTCTGAGACACTGAAGTCCTAACAGAGGTTTCTGTGATTCGCCTCCCTCACTGTTGCTTCAGGTTGCAAAATCCTGTGGCCTTTATTGCTCTCAAGAAGCTGTTGTTGGGGCAGCATTTCAGCTGAAAGGTAATTGTGCACAGGTTCTCACTAGCTGTTTGTACTGCTTGGTGTTGCAGCACAAGTACTCCTCCTGGAAGTACTGCATCCTTTTGTGTTTCATGAGATACTAACAGGCAAGAAAAGAGGGTAATGCATAACACTGTTTTTGTAGCAACCCCAGGGAAGCACGTACAAATACATGAAGAGGTGTAGTACAGCATATTGAGGAGTTCATCATGTATTGAAAGATTGCCCAGCTCGTGAGTGATGTGAGCAATGAACTGAACAGCGGGAGGGGAGAAGGGAGAAGGCAAGGGTGGTAACAATGCGATCGAATAGTCACCCGGGTTAGTTGCAGGCTGCTTCCAGGTCTTGCACAGAAACCCCTGCAGATTGCTCTGCTCATTGCTTACTGAGCCAAAAGTAGCCATGTGGTTTCATTCCCTCTAAGTCTTTGTGTTTCGTGCCATTTCTATTAGATAAGGAAATTAGGGACGCATCCAAACTTTCATATTGGTGTCTTGAAGAAAAAATGGCATTTGTAAGTTATGACACAGTAGAGATGTCCACACTTCAGTCTATTTCATGCTAAGAGTACAAAAATGTACTTTGCACTGACACGTTTCTCACTAATTTTTTTTAAGCCCCTGAGCAAAGTGCATGTGGTGCACACTCGTCATGAGATGCTTTCAGCATGAACACAACTCCTAACTTTCACCTGCTGGTGATGGTGGGTGAGAGTAAGGGCAGGGGAACAGGGAAGAAGGATTCCTAAAGATAGCACATTGGGCAGTCTCTCTCTTGTTTGAAACCACGTCCCGGAGCTCTGCACAAAGATGCCTTGGTCAGAGCAAAAGCCAATGTTCCAGGCAGGATAGCACGGGGAACGGCTGGCAGCCACAGCTCCCTGGCTGACCTCCTTGAGCTATGGAAAGCCTTTTGGAGTGTTGTTGCTGTAAGGGGATACCAGAACTTCCGTAATAGGAAAGTCCTGCGCTTTGAATAACCCCAGAACTACTCGTACAGGTTTTATTTACTTTTCCCTTTATTAACTGTGATAGCTGTAAGGCTGAGGCCTAATCTTGCAGACACAGTAAGTACTTAACTCTCTACAAGCTTACACTGAGATTGCTGTTACTCAGGCAATGCAAGTGTGCTTGCAGAACAGGAGCAAGTCCTCACCCTGGTCTGGCGGCTGCGCCCAAAGGAGGGCTTCTCCATAAGGAACTGTCTCTCGGGTTCACACTGGGTCGACAAGGACCTCATTGGCAGATCCCTATGAATCTCTTAAGCATAAAACCTCACCTGTCTGCATCGGAAAAAAATACTGTAAGCTGCTTCTCTAAATCTCTTTCCAGGAAATGACCCACTCATGGCCACCTCCCCTGACAGCTATTCATACGCCTAGTACAGCAGAGCCTTCCAAATTTCCTTTCCCAACAAAGGTAAAACGCTCTCTTTTTGCCAGGGCTTTTGATAAATTAGAATAGACCTTTCCAGGTCTTGCATGTGTTTTAATCTGATTTTGTCCCCATTTCACAGATAAAGGCTGTTAGGAAATATTATCTTTAGAAGCAGTCAGAAAATGGGTCTTGAGGTGTATAAGAGCTGCAATACATCTTACTGAGAGCTAGATCAGATTGTGCTTCTTATTTTTCCTTACTTATTGTTCAGTGATCTATATTGTAGCATAATTATCTTTCCTCTTTTATTTTTTAAGCAAGCTTTGTATGTTTAGAGTTCTAAGATGTTTGAGACAGAGGGGGAGATGAATGAATAATGTTTCAGTGACTTAAATATTTGTTATAATGGTGGACTTCAAATGTGACTGCTTTACAGAAACATTTTCAGCCTTTCATCTCCGTTGCAGCACAAAACCATTTTATCTCTACTGCCAACAAAAATATTTGCTGGCTGTGTTCAACAGAAGTGCTTGACAGCTCTTCTGAGCTTTTTTTAGTATTTCCTCAAAAAGGCACATACTACTAATGTGCTACCAACACCTTTTTGGTGGCAGTAGCCTGTGTCATTTCTGTCCATGTTAAGCTACATCAGGCCTGCTTAGACTATGGACACTTCAAAGTCGTACTTTGACAAGTTAGCCAAAGTATTCGTTACAGTAAGTAACACATGAAAAAAAACCCACAACGATATGCTGCTGTTAAGAGAGAGCTGATTCATTTTCTTCTCAATTTGCACTTTGTCCTTTCTTTCTAGGGATCGCACCATGTTGGATCTGTAGCCCAGAATCACAGTAAGTGGAAATGCCAAGAAAACACACTGTTAGGTGTGTATTGACAGATAGGGTTGTGTGTTGTGTGTTATACGTTGAAGAGAGCATCAGATGTTTACATTGATTAAGGAGCACGATTTCCTGTGCTTTGTTGAATTTATAAAATGCTTAAGAGATTGTATACACTCATTACCTAGAAATTTGAGCACCAGTTCAGTAGAGAACAAACAGTAATTCGTTAGGAAGCCCCATTTTGTTTGGTGAACAATTACGTCCTGCAAGAAAGTGACTTTCTGATCTGATGCTCAGAGACCTTAGGGAAAAATACGCTACAAGTGAGGCAAATAAAACCAACTGATTAATTTTTGATTTACAGAACAGTATGATGCACCTTCAAAAACGTTGCCTTTTTCTCAACCAAGAACATCGTAAGTAACCAGACTGATTTCCCATCTCTACTGTGCAGTTGCTTAAAAGAACCTGGAATGAATTACAGTATGCTTTACTTGATGACTCCAAAGATTAAGGCTCTATCAGCCCGATTTTTCTCAGGAAATTTCGATGCAGGGAATTTGCAGAAACATTCCTGTTTCATTCTTATAACAATTGTGTTAAAAACAAAACACACCAAAACATAAGGAAAAAACCCAACTCTTCATGTACCAGATTTTTTTTTTTTTCCTCTTTTTGATCTGTGGCTACTTAACATCTTGTCACACTTAGCGCTACTCAAACTACTGATGATGTATTCAGCTGACCCAAATTGTAAGGGATGCACAATGAATCCGACCTATTCTGCGTATTGGTTTGAAGCCTGTGAGGGCTAGTAAAGCTACATCTACCAAAACTGTGAAAACTAGGGGTGAAATTTTAAAGCAGTCATATGATGGAAGTTCCTGCAATTGTCCAAGGACCAGTTTTCTAAAAAGTGTTGTTGTACTTTTAATTTTTATTTTGAAAAGCAAGGAAGCAAACAAAAACTCTACTGTGGTTTTCTAAAAACCTCAATTTATATTCTCATAATGTTAACTTGTTGCAAAGTGGGGTGAAGATGAGATTTCGGTAGCTTTTCTTAATAGTATTTCTATATTTCTACTTTTCTCCATATAGTTATTCTTTTCCCTATCGTGTCATGTTTCCTCTTAGAAGAAAGCATCTTAGAATTTCAGTGAGGAGTTTCAGTGTAAGATGTTTATGCACAATCACTACAAAAGTTTTAGGAGGCTAGGAAACAGTGCCAACCGATAAATTATTTTCTCCACTAGAAAAGTTTAAGTTGGTGGGTAAAATAACTTGGTACTGTCCTAATAGGTGAAAGTGATTATCTGTTTATTAGGTTAACTACAGAAATTGCTTGAAAGTAGTTTTGTGGGTGCTGATGTTAGTCTTTCAGGATTAACCTCACCAGATGGCAGCATTGATAGCCCTGAGTCACAAATAGAAATCGTTCTGTGTCTGGAAGGCTGAGGGGACCGTGTGCGAGGCAAATGCTGAACCACTGAATGCCTGTCCGTTCATGGGATATATAAAGATCTCCTGTTACTCCATGATTACTCATGTTCCAGGGGAGGCTGCAAACTACAGACTACAAAGCTTTCTCAGCTTGTTCTCCTTGTCACAATTAAGAGGAAGAGCATCTCTCCCTCTTGGTTGAGATTGTAGAATTTTGCACTCGAGCTCTGTAAGATCTGCCAAATAACCCTTTTCATACCATTCCAGCATCATGCAGAGGAGCCCTCTCTGGCTGGGAATGTGGGATAGTGTCTTGCTGAGCAGTCAACTCCTCCCTTAATCCATTCTTTATTTCCTTCCTCCTCCTTCCACCCCAGCTTGCTCCTCCTGAACAATTTCTGGGAATTTTCATTTCACTATTGAAAATGCTAGTTTCAACTGCTTCAGGCTCTGCCTTCCTCCTCAGCTACCCTACCGGCATCATCTTCATTTCAGCTCTTCTCAGCTGCTTGTAAAAATCCCTTGAGCACTTGAGTCACTTTTCCAGGTGGCAGAGACAGAAGAGACCTTTACTGTAGACAAGAATCTGGAAATACTGCTTTCTTAGCCCAAAGGCCCAGAGTTGTAGATGTGGCGCAGTAGGTAGCTCTGTGCTTAGTCAACATCCCCTCTCTGCTCGGTGTCCTCGTGGGCGCTTCAGAGCCAGCACTCATCTACCGGGGACAGGCGGACCCTCAGCCCACAAAGGCAGCTGAAGCAGGAGGTTTATGTCCAAACGGGAGTCAGGCGAGATTTGCTCAAGGACTTCCTCTCCATCTTTCCCTTGGACTCCCGCATCCCTTCTTTTTTGCTTTGTTTTTGTTTTCATTTGCACAACAGGGCTTGTTTTCTTTGCTACTCAAAGCACCGGTTACTGTCTGAGAGCTCAGCTGTCCAGAGGTAGCTGGCGTTACCAAGTGGAGCCAGCTGAAAACAAGCAGCGTTTGTGCTGTTTGATTAGAAGTTGAAATCGCGGTGCGTCCGTGTGCCCAAATGCAGCATTCAGCTTTACAGGCCATGCAAGGGTTTCCCACATGGCTTTCATCCTCGACTGCAGCCCCAAAGCCAGCACCTGGCTGTCTTGGGATGGAAGGAGCCATTCTTTCAAAAGGGGAGATGCCAAGCTTGTTCTTGGTGATGTCTCTTCAACCTGGTGGCAGAGGTGGACCAGCCTGGGCTTACAGGGGGGCTGTTTGGCGAGTGATACTAATTTTAGTGCTGCTTCTTGCTAAAAGAGCTCTTTAAAATGGCATTACAGGGAGATTGATGGTGTGTGTGTATAAGCTGCAAATGAACAGGTCCTGCAAATTAAAACTTGGCATCTGTTAACTCCTGAGCTAATTAAAGCATTCATTTTTTTTAAAAGCAAATTTATTCTCTTTAACTAGGCTATTTAACAATTTGTTGAAACTTTGTTTTGGGGAAACTGGTTTTGTCTGTCCTTGCAGAAGCAGGACTCGCTTTAATGTTCCTCCTTCCTTGATCCTCAATTGAACTTAAGTACTTGCAATGTTCTTTTATGCTGATTCATTTTATTTACCAGCAGCTCAAGTGAAAAAGGCAGTCCTTTCTATTGCAAACAGCTAGATCAGATCTAAAAGAAGATCTAGGTACAGTTTCCTTGCATTATGGTCTTACCTCTAAAGGAAAAGCATCTGTAGTCCACAATTCTTACAGCAAAACACAACTGAAAAAAGAAAACCCTTTCAGAACTTACTAGCATCTCTGGATGTTTGTTCATGATCACCTTTGAAGGATTACTTCCCCTAAGAGCTTGGAAAAAAAACCATTCATTGAAATGCCACTAGATGTTTGGGCAAACTGCTCAGCAGTGTGGGGAGAGGCTGTATTGTTGCTATTCTTTTTTCCTTTCTGTGTCTCAGCGGACAGGCAGCGAGCTTCGGCTCTAGCCCATGGGCAGAGTTGGCATTTGCAGGGTTGCTGCCGCCTGCGTGCCATTTGCCTTCTGTAGGGAAAGGCAGGGGCCTCGTTTTCCAAGGTGGTGTCTCATGGCACTTCCCTTCAGTGTTTACTCTAAAAGAAGAGGCGAGAGGTTACTTCCACCCAGAAGGTGTGTGAGGAAATGAAGCAGTGGAGGCTGGGAGGGGGAGGAGTGCAGTCACAGGGGAATGGCAGAGTCAAACTGCCTGAACAAAGCAAGCACGTAGGTCTTCCCCAGTGTGATCAGAGCCAGCCCCTGTGGCACCCAGAGCCTCTTCTGCATCAGAGAGAGGTGCTCGGGGACTGCAGGGACCTGTGCAGGAGGGGTTGGCTCTGTACTGGCAGACAAAGGAGACCTTTGGGGTTCCTTCATGCTGTCCTGCTCCAGGAAAGAGCAGATTTGTCACTCCTGGTTTGTGGAATTGGTTTTTGTTGTGAGACCATTGCCAGCTTCAGCTTGTAAGCGATGAAAGTATTTCAGTTTCAATGAAGGTGTCTCCATGCATGTCAACTGCTTTGGTGTGAGTGTAAAACAATTTGTCTAGGTAGTGGAGATAGTATTCAAATAAGGGAACCACTTCTTTACTCACGATTTTTTACCCCTCTGTTGTCACGGATTCATTCACGCAAATTGCTCAGGATCATTAGAGGTGACCCACTGAGCCGTAAATCTTTTTGGCTTTGTTCATCATTAGCAATGAAGGGGTGAAAGAGTGTGAAGGTTTGTGTGGTTTTCCTTCTCCAAACAAGCATCAGAAACACCAAGTCTCTCCCCACTTTTCCAGGGTGATGTGGTTCACTAGGGATCTTTCATATTTGTTTTCATGCTATAAAAGGTGTTGTCATGAGGGGTTGGAGGCTTATTTTTCTTATTTGGGCATGAGAGAAACTTCTGACAGAGCGCCCTTCGTTTGAAATGAGGTTGAAATAAAAAGAGTTTTGACCTGATTGATTAAAATCCCTGTGTTGGTTCCTAAGCTTTTTATCGCCTTTTTGGAATGACCCTGGTATAATTCCCTAGGCTGAGGAGTCTGTCTCCAGCTAGTTTCAGGGTTTGATTTGCTCTGCTTTTGAATAGCAAGAGTTTTGCCTGTCTCCTTTCCAAATCCTTTTTGGGATGCCTGAATGTTTTTCAAAGAGGGATTCCATTGGGTATACCAATCTGGGAGAACTTTGTGTCCGTCCCCACATGTCTTTCCCTTCCAGCCTTTTGAGGCCCTCAGTAATGCATTGAAATGGCAAGCAGAAGTTCCCACCGGCGGGCAGAGGAGTACACTAGGCTTTTGGGAACATTTGAAGGCAGCCTGCTCTCTACTTTAGCAATAGTAATACTGCTTTGAGTGCCTGAACTGCTTGATGTTATGGGTACCGCTGAGATGTGCAGGAGCATAAAGTTCATTGTGTAGAGAAGAAATAGGAGATAGGCTTGACTTTGGCATTTACTTCTGTATGTGTGATAAGAAACATCAGCAGCAAAAAGAGAGCCTCTGTGACAGAAGAAATACTTGCAGGCCCTGAGAGTGCCGTGAACATGCACAGCTTGCGGTGCAAAGCTGATGCTTTCTGTCCCCTGGGGAACCAGTGCAGGCTAACGGTGTGCTAGTTTCTCGCTGTGCAAGAATCAGACTTCTTCCACACCGCCTTGTTGTGTTAGTGTCCTAGGTAACCATTTTGGCTGTAGGTAACCATTGTTGAGGAGCATTCCACTCACAGAGCTTCGTCTCTGTTGTCTGTAGGCAGCAGCCAGTGATAGTGACCTCCATTGCAAAGTGTCCTCAGATCAGTTGGAAAGCACAGTAAAATGCTTAGGTACTGTATGATCATTTTATCATTCTGTCAGGTAACGCCAGGGTTTAGCAGACTGAGTGTGCCAGATGATCAAAAAGGATATGGGAGGTTGGTTTGTTTGGGCAAGCGCAAACCAGCAGTGTCTTTGTCAGTGTCTGCTGCTTGAAAATGTGTCTGCCTTGGCTGATATTTATCTTCTGGTTGTCTTTCAGAATGCTCCAGGACGACCTGCAGCTCAGTGATAGTGAAGAGAGTGGTGACGACCAAGTCAGTTTTAGATGTTTTACACACTAGGCACACAGACATCCCTTTAAATCATCACGCGTTGTCCTGAGTTCCTTAAGCTAACCTTTCCTCCCCCTCTCTTTGTTTTTGTGAACAAAACAGGTTGCTGAAAAGGCACCAGCCTCACTTGCTCCTCCAAGGTACAGGTTTGTTCCCAAACCACTAGCTAGACCAAAGAAGGAGGAAAACAAACCTCCTTTTTGTACGTAGGGGAGACGGGTAATGCCAGTCTCTCTTGCAGAAGCAGGCTTTGGTGTGTGGAGGCCTGAAGCTGCTGTTGAAAATTGGCTTGTGTGGGGTTTTAGGGAAAGCTCCAATTAGAAATGTGTCATCCAGTCATTCTGGATTTTGCCTATGAACCACAATTTTATTTCCCCAACTGTCCCTGCTTTTCTCCTCTTCCACTCCACTGGTGTGTACTTAGAGCCCAGTGGAGGTGATGGGGTGGGATTTTCAGTTGCAGCAGCAATGGGTGAGGCATGAGTCCAGTTTTAGTTCAGAAGGAAGCCCGGAAGTGGGTGAAGAAGAGAAGAGGGTTAGGTAGACCCTTGGAGGCTGTTTCAGCTTCTCCTGATAAGGCAGCGATTGTAAGCAGTTCCTGCCATGTGTTGATAGTCAGCAGCAATGTCCAAGGTAGACTGAACAGCCATGTGCCAGCGTTAGCAGAAGAAAGGTGGAGAATACTGGAATTTTTCCTCTGGGAGCAGGGGCACACATTTTTGGCTTGATATCTCTGTTCTTCAAGCAGAGGGTAATGGCCTACAAAGTCAGACTGGCAGAAGGGCGTGCCAGTTCTTGGCATGATCTGTGTCTCTGCAAGCTCTTGAAATAGTGTTCTCAGGACATTGGTCTGGGTCAGCACGGAGCTTGCCTCCAAGTCATACAAGATGTGTTGATACTGACATGGGAAGCAGTTTTCAAAGTGGGGGGGGAGGAAAAAAAAATCAACATTTTGATTTCATGAGCCCATTGCAAAGCAAAAAGCAGCTATGCCTAAAAGTCATGGCTCTGCCTCAGTTCTATCCACTCCTATTGTCAGTGCTGGAGGAAAACACTTCTGAGTAGGGGAGGGTGTTGCAAAAAAAGCTGCTGCTTGAGGTGACTGTTAAGGAAACAGTTACAGCACCTTGACCAAGTAACACAGGTGAAGGGAAAATGTGCGGGGGAGAATACAAAAAAAAGAATCCATCCTGGAATGTGTGTTTCTGTTTATTGGCAATGGTTCTGTTGAAGGTTGGAGCTTTCAGAAGAGCACTTGTCAGTTTTGGTTGCTTTTTAAATTTTGCTTGGCTAAAGGCAGCTTCCTATTGTAGCAGCAATGCCCTGCTTACGTATTTGTCCCACTGGGTTGAAGGTTTTATTATTTCTAGAGGCCTTTTATTCCCGTGCTTTCTCTTTTGCGTATGGCAATGTATTCCCTTGGCCTTCTCCCCGCTCCTCTCAGTGCCAAAACATGGGGTTTCAGTTTTATTTGTGAATCCTGCCATGTCCATACAATAAGTAACCTTCACCCATGGTGCTTTCTAATTTTATCTCATGGTCGCCTTACAGTGCCCTACAGTCCCAGCCCAAGAGTGTGGCATCAGCGCATTCCAGCAGCCCGGAGTCAGGGAGCACCAGTGACTCAGACAGCTCTTCAGACTCGGGGACAGAGAGCAACTCGAGTGACAGTGAAGCAAACGACCCTCCAAGAGCATCAGCGCCTGAGGTGAATAGTAAAATAAAATGTACAGGCTGCTTAGTACAGCCTCTTGCCTCAGACTCTCTGCTGTCTCGGTGCAGTCAGGACAGGACACCTGAAATACTGTCATCGTTCAGATGTCCTCTTCACATCAGACTTTTCCTGCCCTTTGCTTCCCTTCTAGAGTTTGTCAGTGAAATAACCTGGAGTTACAGCATCCTTAGACTTCTCCATGCCTCAGCTTGAAGTGTTCCCCTTTCTCCTTTGGCATCATTGTTAGCACTCCTGGAGGGATTAGTGTCTTCCCTGGGGAGACACAAGCAAGGCGCAGATGAGAAGCACAGCTTGTGTGGGGTGTTTGGGCCCACCTCTGCCCCTGCAGCTTTGCTGGGTGCCGAGGCTGTGGGCTGCTTCAGGGTGAGACCAGTTTCCTCATATGTTACGAAGGAGCCGCTGCCTTCCTGCAGTTCCTGTGCCTTAGTGACAGATTCAGCTTCTCCCAGAGCGCAGTTCAAGTGATCAGGCCAGCAGGAAGGGCTGGAATGTGCTTAGACTTGCTTCTGTTGCATTTGGCTCGCACAGTGCTGCACTGGCATTTCTGAGGCTGTTATTTGGGAAAAACAGACAGACGGAAGTCGGTGCCTTAAAGTTTCGTAATTGAGACCATGCATTTTTTAAAATTAAGCTGCAGTAGTTCTCATGTCCCATGGTTTCAGACAGTTCTTCCAGCTTGCAAAACACTCTCAGGCCAGTGGGAAGTGTGTGGTTATATCCTACAGAGCACAGCTGATGTAAACCAAGTAGCTGACAGTTTTGAGGTACTCTCACAAAGCCCAGAGACCTTGTAATTTAGTTCTCCCCCTCTCCCCCAGCCCTAGCTTTCCTTTCTTTTACCTTAGAAGCACATGAACAGGTAGAATTTTATGTGCAGAAAACTAGCTTTGAGAAGTCATATCTTTTCATCTCACATCTAATACGCTTTACCCTCCAGCGGTTCAGTTACAGACTTTGCCTTCTGTACTGTGGGTGTCTTTGGAAGGAAACAGATGTTATACTTCTCTTTTACCAAATCCTGCCTGCTTTGTTCTGAAAATACTAGATTGTAAGATCCTTCTCACTCTAGAGAAGTCCTAGCTATTTGCCATTGACCATTTTATCCTTTTTTATTCAGCAGACTGTTTGTCTGTGGTGCTCAAGGAGCAAGTTAGCACACGTGGCCCATTTGTTTACAGCCAGTTCTTGACATGCAGAACACAGGCTTTAAGACCTAGAGGCAATAATTCCTCTTACTCTCCTTTGTGTTTGGAAAACTTGATGAAAACCCATGCGATGGTGTGGGTCACAAAGAAGATAACCAACGGCAGAAGGTGCTAAAAAAGGATCTGAGTGTGCCACTGTCTGGTAGTTACCTATATTATAGCCCAAAGTTTTGGTCTTTTGGCCATGTTTTTTTAGTGAGTTATGCTGACACATACATGGTATTTTCTGAACATGCCCCTGATTTGCACTTCTGTTTTGTTTTTTAGGGTTAGTTGTCAGACTTCAATGAGATGTGATAGCTGGCAATGCTCCTGGTCCATTTTTTAAGGCAGTGCTGTGTGCAAATAACTTTCCAAAAGCATTGCAAGGACAGCACCTAATCCATTTGTACAGTTGCTGCTTTTTTTATATATTGTCTGGTTGTGTCACACTGTTGGTTAGGGGCAAACCAAGATGAAGCTTTCAGGTAGACTGGTCTCTTGCTGAGTGAAAGGTAGGGCTAGCAGAGATCCAGGAGTGCTGTGCAACATATTTGACTGATCCTGTGCCAAAACGAGGTCTGTGTTTCTGAAGTTAGTGTTGATGTGCACACACTAGAGCATGGCCACTGTCTTGTGATCTGTCACTTTCAAGCTCTTTCTTTTAACAGTAAGGGGAAATTTTACTGGGTTCTGGTAGGCTGTGCTAGGATGGAAATAGGCCACAAAGGCATCAGTCTTGCATCCTTCCTTTCTCTTTTTGTCTGCAGCCTGACCCACCAACTTCTAATAAGTGGCAGCTTGACAACTGGCTAACCAAGGTGAACCCACCAGCAGTGCCAACAGAAAGTCTTGGCGAAATCGCCCACACGGATGGATGCGAGGAGGACAAGGATCAGGACATCAGCAGCAATTCCTTCCACCAGCATGCTGAGTCGAGGGAGCCTCATCATAAGAGCACTGGCCGAGCGGCCAGGCCTCCTCAGGACACTTATCTCCCAACCAACCTCCCAAGCCAGCAGTCTCCTGTGCGTGCTGAGGAGCCCTCCCCCAGGCAGACTGTGGGCATCAAAAGACCCAGCAAGGCCCCAGGGCACGAGTGCTGGTCCTGGACTAGCCCCCAGATTGTGAGAAAGGCTTGCTCACGGACAGAGTGTGAAGAGGACAAAGTCTTTGAAGCAAAGATGCATTAATGAAAACAAAATGATTGAGTTAGCTGTTGTGTGACTCTCAAGAAAGAGCACACCTGTTACAAGAGTTCAGGCATTTTAAGCCTTCTCCTCAGGGACCTGGTTCCCTGTCCCCTTTTCCCATTGCTCTGGTACTTCAGCGTGTACACTCTTAGCCTGTCACAGCACACCCCATTCCCCCAGCAACTAACTCCACATATATAACACCCCCCCTTTTCCACAAAAATGGCTACAACACACAACATGGCTGAAGCAAAATCCCCGAGTCATTTCTCACAGCATGATCTGTGTCTCTGCAAGCTCTTGAAATAGAGTGTTCTCACGACATCGGTCTGGAGCAGCATGGAGCTTGCCTCCAAATCATACAAGATGAGTTGATACTGATGTGGGAAGCAGTTTTCAAAGTAGAAAAAAAATAAATCAATATTTTGATTTCATAATCCCATTGCAAAGCAAAAAGCAGCTGTGCCTAAAAATCACGGCTCTCCCTCTGGCCGAGCGGCCAGGCCTCCTCAGGACACTTATCTCCCAACCAACCTCCCAAGCCAGCAGTCTCCTGTGCGTGCTGAGGAGCCCTCCCCCAGGCAGACTGTGGGCATCAAAAGACCCAGCAAGGCCCCAGGGCCCAAGGGAGGCCTGAAGGTGGAGAGTGACCCTGCTCCTTTGGAGGTCAGAGACCAGTCTTCCCGAGACAAGCCAAAAGTCAAAAGGAAAGTGAAGCCAAAATCCAGCGACAGAGGCGACGCGAAGGCGGCACTGCAAGAGCCCCCTGAGAACAGAAAGCACAAGAGCTCCCACCAGAGCCATGCCAAACCCTTGTTGGACCCCAAGCTCAGGAGAGAGGTTTTGCTTGGCGGTGCCCAGGAGCATCTCGCTCTCAGTCCCCTTCCTCAAAGCCAGGGCACAACCCCCACCAGGACTAGCAGCCACAGGCCTGCTGTTGTGGCCAGAGAGGACTTTCACAAGGAGAAACTTCCCTTGCCTATGAGGGAGAAGACGTTGCTCTCGCCAGTGACGGACCCCCCTGTGCCTCAGTCCCTCATGGTGAAAATAGACCTCCCTCTCCTGTCCAGAGTCCCGCAGCCCCCTGGAAAAGGCAGCCATCAGAAGAGAGCAGAGGCCAAGGAGCTCCCTGGTGCAAGGAAGCAGGATCTGGAGAGGAAAACCACAGACGCTCCTGACAAGTCCCTTCGGAAGAGGAAGGTGAGAGGTAGAGGTGGAGGTGGGTTGGGTTTGTACGAGGACCGAGGTGGTGTTTGAAACACCCACGTGGAGAATTCATTTCCCTGGAGCTGCTGTGGTGCTAGCCAGCCCTTGATTTCCCTGAGGTGGCAGTAGCTCCCAAGTGGTTTTGGAAAGCTGACTCCCAGAGGGGACTGTGACTATCCTTCAGCCAGCTGGTTCAGCTGCACAGAGAGGTGGCTGCAGGCCTCATGGCCCATGGGTGTTGGCTGTGGACATCTCAGTGCCTGGACACCTGTGTGGTTCTCCTCATGGAGCAGGTGGCTTAGCATGTGTGGGGGAATGAGCTTGGCTCCCGCGCGGGTTTCTTTCAGTCTTGTCGTTTTCTGAGCTTCCCGTAGTTGTGGGGGAGAATTGAGAAGAGCAGGGAAACGGTGAAGAAACTTGGAGAGACCCCAGCAGTGCCCCTCTTGCAGGGCAGCGGGAGAAAGGGCAGTAAATCTGTCGCTTCTGCTGTTGTCTCAAAGAGCCAAGAGAGGAGCTCTTTGAACTTAGACAGGTCTTCCTTTGCCGTCTGAGCGACTGATTGCAGGAAAGCCCACCTCAGAGCCTCGCCGTCTGTATTCTGTCAGCATACATCAGTGTCCGGGGAGGCGCAGGCTTCATGGCAGCCGTTAGGCCGGGTACAGCTCTCAGACATCTTCGGTGGCAGTGTGGAGCTCCACCTGAGAAACAGCTGAAGGACATGATGTAGGTGCTGCAGCCTTGGCCTGAGCACACTGCCAGAGGTGGTCTGTGACGAGCACAACCCGCTGAGCTCCGTCACAGGGACATAAACCCCGATATCCCCTTGGGAGAGAGCCAGAAAGTCCAGGAATGCTTCTGGCTGCCACCAGGCCCACTGTGGGTGACACTGGCTGAAAAGCGTCTTTTCTGTTACTTTTGCTTGGTTTGTAGGAAATCATTCTGAAGTTTTTCATTCTGGCGAGCTGGTGATTTGCACTCTTTGTTTTGTTAAGATCTGTGGAGTGCCATTAAAATGTGTTATTTTTTTACCTCTCTTCCTTCTGGAAGACAATGGCAGCGAATTTAAGTAACTGTTTAAAATTTCACCTCTATCAGATCCTTGTTAATAAAACCAAACACCCCCCCACACACACATCTGGGGAGTCTGAGTCATCTAATTCTCCTGGGGATGCAATTTTTTTCCTTCTCTGTGATAAGGCGCATCGCAAAACACAAGTGGTTGAGGTTTGTGACTTTGCCAATAGGAATCTGAATATATTTCTGTACGATTCCTGCTGAGTAGGAGAAAAACCCAAAACAGATGAGATGCTGATTTTCAGCAGTGGAAGTGCCTTCATTATGGTCACTACTGGCAGCAAGAGTTTAGCAGTTCATTCCCTGACACTACAAAATAATTCATCTATCGAAACAAAGGTAGATAAAATGTCACTTTAGGATACTTGTCACTGACCCTGAAATCTCTATCAGCTCTGCTCTGGGTTCCCACTTTGTCAGTTCCAATATCTTATCTTTTTTTAATCAGAATCAATCAAACTTAGCTGTTTTGCTCTGTACTTTACCACAACTTTCAAAACCTGAGTGATTTTCTCTCTCCCGCCTTTCTTCCTGTTCTAGAGGGAAATGGAGAAGGAGATTGATAGGAAGAAAATGAAATCAGGAAAAGAAACAAAATCTTTGCAGTCTTCGGCTAACAAAGACTCCGATAAATCGAAGTGAGTATACAATGGTGGGATGGCAGAAAAATGCATAAACGTGAGTCTTCCTTAAAAAAGTTAATGTGAAGAATTGTATCTCCTGCCCTTAACTGGACAGGTCCTGATGAAGGAAAAAAGCCCTGTGTGAATGTTGATACCGTCTGCTCCGTCAGCTGCTTTTGCTGTCCCTGGTCACAGGCTTTGCATAGCACTTAGTGGCTGGCTGCTGGTGCACACAGGGTCTGTGCTGGGTGGGTCCTGTCTTCTCCCAGCTGAGAACACGGAGGTGGGGCTAGCATCTAGTTGGGTGAAGGTGTATTTCAGCTGGGGTAGGAATGGAAGGGCTTTATTTCTGGGGTACGTTTCTCGCTTTTTCTCTGTGAAAATGAGCACCCTTTTAGCCATGTTCTGGCTTTCAGAGGGGGAAGGGTAGGATGCGTTTTTGGAGGGAGCGGGCTGTGGATGAGGTGAGGGGATGCAGCTGTGCTCTGTGTGCAATAGCCCTCTCAGAAGCCATCCCAAGGGAGTGAAGCTGGGGAGCATGTGTGCAGTGAGTAGGGACTGAGTGCACCGTGGGGAAAGGGGGTTGTGGAAGAGGGGAGAGGACTGTTCTGTGGACAGCAGAGTGACCCAAGACCTGCAATGTCACGCTTCACTCTTCGCAGTGGGTTGAACTTAATTTCCTCCTCTTCTGATGTTGCAATCTATGAGTTGGGATTCACTGCACAGTGTTTTCTTGGAAACTTAGAGAAGCTGAATAAAACAGGTGCAAATGAGCAGTAGCGAGACAAGGTTTGGAGTTTTTTGGTGCTGCTTAGAGGAGCCAGAGTTCCCTTGTAATCCTAACTGCAGATGATCAGAAATCTGATATGCCACTGTATTATTAAATGCGATAGCCTCTGCCATTATAAAGCCTCTCCATTTTAAGTCTCTCTCACTTGAATGCCCTCAACGTTATAAGTGTGATCTAGTTGAGCTGGCAAGTCTTTAAGGAACAACTCAGTGTAGTTGTGTCAAAGCACACAGAGGATCAAGTGTCAGGATGAGTATCTCTGACCGTAGAAGGTATCTTCTACCATACTGGGGAGAGAGAGGCAGCGCTGCAGTTCCTTTGCCTTGTTGGGTGGTTTTTCCCTGGGACTGTAGTTGCTGCAATTTCCTCTCTCCCTCTTTCAGTGAAAAGGGGCTGTGACAGAGGGGTGCCTTTTTTTGCAACATCCTGGTATATTCTGGTTGCAGTTTACTCCAAGGACGAGGCCTGAGGCTTACTCATACTTGAAAAGCAGCTTTCTTGTCTGGTTGTTGGCATCTGAAGATGTGGTATCTAATGCACGATGAAGTCCCTGAAGTTTCATTTTGCATTTGTTGGGTTCTTTGTGTTAACAAGTCATCTCCCACTTCCAGAGAAATTTAAACAGAACTGGTAGATGAAGTAACTAATTTTTTAAAAAATCCCCACATTATATGTAAACCAGATTCAGTCCCGTTGCTGAATTTGCTTCCCATCTCCAGAGCACCAAAAGCTTCATCTGAAACGCAGAAGAAAGATCTCCTGCTACCCCTGCCATCCATGTCTCCTGCACATCCTGCACCAAAGTCCACCAAGATGGCCCAAAAGAGACCCAGAAGTGAGACCGGTGAGCTGCCTACCATGGATAACACTGCCTGGAACAAGAGCAACCACAAGGGTCCTTTGCTCCCCAAGCGCAGGAAAGTGGAGAGCAATCACGCGGAACTGTCGAAGGGCATCAAAGTAGGTATCCCTTGTAACTGGGGGGATGTTTCCTGCAACCTGTGGATGCTGTGTGATTCTCTTTAGAAACATCCTCTGAGGATATTAAAAAGGAAGGAAGGTAAACCAACCACCAGAAAAGGCTCTTTGAAGCATTTTTGCCCCTTTAATGGGAAAGTGTGTGGCTGTATGTTGCTAGCCCAAAAGCCTGCCTTGTACCTTCTCTGCTGACTTTCCATCCTCTGTTTTCATTTCACCCATGCAACATAGTGAGAAGGGGTGACCAGGTAAAAACCAAAGGCAATAGAATCATGTCTGTGGAAGTAACTGTTTCTGACTGTAGGCAACTGCAACCATATACTGGTGTAAAAACGAGCATGTTTACAAAAACAAAGAGTGGATTGCTTGAAAATAATAAACAAGCAACCTGTGTTTTTGACTGCAACCTGGGTAAAAGGTTTTCTAGCTTGCTTACAAAACTGTTACTGATCCTTGCAGCTGGTTCTTTGCATTTTGGGGTCATAAATTTCAATGTTATTGCCATATGCTGGTGGCTGGGCGTGTGTGGTCTAGGATGTTGGCGTGTGTGTTAAGCCAGACTCTGCCTGCTGTATTAGCTGGCTTCTGACTGCTTGCTTTTCCCTGATAACATAGTTAGTGACAGAGAATCAGCAATTGCTGTGTGGTTCAGCTGGAAGTAAGTGTGAACGGCTATTACCCATTCCTGCCTGGGCTAGTGGCCATGAAAAAAGGGCTGCTTGCAGCCTCGCTGTTGGCTTAGCCGTTGTGCTCCTTAATTTCTCCATGCTTGGGAAAAGTGTGAATGGTACTGAGCCTCACTAGCAGTCAGGTAAGAAGCCAAGTTTGCGTTTCCATTATTGGAGGGGGTGCTGGGGAAGAAGGTAGGACGAGCTGGAGAACCTGGAGTATGATCTGTGCCTGGGACAAATAAAGGTTTTGTCTTGAAATGTAGGAGAGCCAGGCTTTGGAATTGGTTTAGACGTGTCTCTCTAACCAGCTTTGTCTCTGCTCTGTGGTTTTTCAGGGATGTGTAGGGGATGTCACAAATCCTTTCCCAGTGCCTTCTGTGCCAAATGGTACCTCCAAGTCGAGCAGACCTCAACTCAACTTTGAAAAGTAAGTTCTCTGTTTTACAGCCCTCAAGTACTTTCTGAAGACTCCAGGCAAGACTGGCCCTGCAGCCACCCTGGCTTCTGCTCTTAATGAGCCTTTCTTTTGGGAGGAAAGGGAGAGGAAGAGTTGTCTGAGACGTCCTTGTACTGCCTTCTTTTGGGTGGGACTTAGCCCACCCACCAGACTGCAGAGGTCTCATTGGAAGGGTTCTTGGTTTGAGGGAAGCTACTCTGGAAATGCAGTACTTTTTAACTCTGAGAGGAGGTTTCTTGTGCCTGCCTCCAAGGGGCGGGTTTTGATGTGTCTGATTCTTGACAAGTGGCAGGGTTCTCTGTGACAAGGTGTTTGTCACATGAGAGGGCATGACTCTGACTTGCTCGTTTTGTTAGCACACAGGTGGCTGTGTGCCATTTGCACAGTGAGTAGATGCTCCCAGTGCACAGAAATGCATGTCTTGATCGAGACCAAACCCTGTAGAAGGTAAAATGGATAATTATCCTACCCTTTTTCTCTGCTTTATCTTTTTCCTCTCTCTGTCCCCCATTCAGACAGCATCCGATGGAACACTACATTGAAGAGGCCAAGAGGCTGAAGCACAAAGCTGATGCAATGGTAAGTCTTGGCCCTGTGCTAGAAATGGTAACCAGCTCTTGCATTCAGCCCTGATACCTGTGTGCACGTGAGTAAGATTTGCTGGCTAACGTGACATACATAGGATTTCATACGTGGAGTGTGTTCAAGTCCTATGTGGGGAGGCTGTCTCTATTTGACAGATGTTCAGACATCTGCCTTTGTTATAAGGACTTCTAGAGAATATGCCTCGAGAATCGGATTGAGATCTGATGTTGTCTGAGGTTAGCAGGCCTGTGTGCTTTGCAGAACTATCCCAAAGTCCTTGGAGGATACAGGGGACAGTTAGTTTTAAGGCACTTTACTCTGATGCATCACGATCCTGACGGTGATTGTGTTGTGGGTAAACAAGACTTGGAAGTGCCCTTTGCAGAAACGTAACTGGCTTTCTCCACTGTGTGCAGTTTATCTGACAGAACCATAATTAGCAAAAAAATATGTTCATTCATGCATGCTGTTAATGTCCGTTTGCTGCTTGCCATTTACTTGTGAAAATGAAGTGAGGAAATACTGCAGTGGGAAAGCCTCTCATGAGACAGACCTCCAAGACCAGACAAAAATATCCAAAAACTGTGGAGATAGTAAGTTACTGGAGGAAAACTATGAGCAAAAGGAAGAGATACACATAGCCAGAGCACACCAAGCTGAGGGCTGGGACTGCATTAGGAGTTCTGCTGAGAACCCTTTAATTATCAACCCAGAGGCCTAACCTGCATCTTTTTCTTTTTTCAAAACCTGCCTGACTAGGGAGAAAAAAGGAACGCAGGTACACTTGAGAGAAGTAGTTTTTGTCTGAGTCTAAAAATGAGAATTGTCTTCCCCATAGACCGACAAGACTGGAAAGGCTTTGCAGTACCTAGATGCCGCCCTTTCCTTCATTGAGTGTGGGATTGCCTTGGAATCGGATGCACCAGCACCAAAATCAGCCTACAGCATATTCAGCGACACCATCGATCTCATCAAGTAAGCTGTCCTCAAAGTGTGGTGGTCAGGCAGCACATTTGGAGGGGAAGGGTTAATTGTGTTGCCTGTTTGCAATGGTGGGAGCTCTGGATTGCCACCATGGAGCCCAGCTGGGGTTGCTGTACAAGCACAGAGAGACAGACCATCTAGAGGCACCCGGGACAAATCCTTTGAAAAGTTTCAGCATTGTTTATCAGAAGTAGGCATCGTGTCCTCCTCAGCATTCGAGCCTTGCATCTGAGGTACACTAGAGGATGCTGATTATGACAATCAAGGACATGAAGCAGCTTTTATTTTATCCAGGTCTGAAGTTGCTTTTGTGTGTGAGCTCAGTAGTATTTCGGTTATAGAAAGCAAAGCAAGAGTATAGCGTGTGGAAGAACAGTTTGTGCCCCAAAGGTCTTGCAGCTTGATTGAAGGCAGAGCTTAATGATTTCTCCCGCGGGTATTTCTACCAGTACACTTTATTGGGGTCTCTTCGGAACCTTCCCCATCTAGTTTCACAGCCATAGTAGATGTATGGAGAGAATATGACATAGACAGGCAGCACAACCCAAGGAACCCTATATTGGATAGAAGAGAGATAGGTATTTATTTCTTTATATTGACATTCCAGGTTATGTGAGTGTTTCTGAGAGCTGATTTGACTTCTTGCCTTAGAGCTGAAACAGCTCTCGGGTTTTTCTGGTGGTAGACTTCAAACGTTTTAAATTACATTGTTTGCTTTGTGGTCTTGAGGGACTGTGTTTTCACGATGCTGTTGTTCTCAAACAACATTGCTGTTGTTTTCAAAAAGGAGATTTGCTGGTTTGCTTTTAGCCAAAAGAAACATTTCCACTACGATGTCTGTCTTGCCCAGAAACACTTGAATTAATGTTCACCTTCAGTAGTGGGGGTGCCTCTTCTGGGCCCCAGGCCTGTAGGTTAGAGTGTAATCAGTGTCAGAGGAGAGGGAGTCACGTAAGGGGCCACATGTATTCCTTCTGCGTGGAAGGCAAGGCGTTTGGGTCCTGCGCTCCAGTTCATACAGAGCGCCTGGGGCCAGGACTAAGGATTCAGGGCAGGTTTCCTGCCTTTTGGATCGGTGTTCGAGACAACAGCATGCGCTGGTTTTTCATAAACAGTGGGACTTCAGAGCACTGAGGACTGACAAGATTCTGTTTATTTTGTTTCCTTAGATTCATCATGACACTGAAATCCTTTACGGACTCCTCGGCATCTTCACGTGAAAAAATCCTTGCCGTGTTATGGTGCGTAACTGTTTTTCTGTGCCTTCATACTCTGTTTTTAGACTTGGTAGCGTGAAAAACCCATTACTTTCAGGGGCGAAGGAATGAGCTGAATGGGAATCAGAGTTGTATGAGGAAAAGAACCTACAATATGAAAACCAGAATGAGCTGGACCATCTCTGAAGTGAGCTGAGATATTATCACAAGGGACTAGACATGGAAGGCACAGGCTCTAAAGTTACCTGTCAGTAACTTCAGAATGCACAAGGGCTTTCACCTAAGGCGGAGGAATGCAATTTGGCTCCCGTGTTTGAGCCATGTAACTGAAGCTGTAGTTGAATATAGCTGAAGCGCTTCTGGACAGGGGCTTACTCAGCCTGTGGCACCCATAACAGGCTGGGCCCTTGTTTGTATAAAACACCAGACATGGCCCTTCCTCCTTTTGCTTTTTTCCCCCTTGTGATTTTTTTCACCAAGCTCTTTTTTTAAGATGAGCAGGAGGAGGAGAAATTCTGGGTTTTCTTGACTTTGCCGACCTGTGCCCGCCTCTGTGCCCCAAGGCTGGTGACTGCTGAGCAGGGAGTGTGAACACTGATGCTGGGGTGTGTTTCTCTTCACAGCATGCGCTGCCAGTCCATTCTGCACATGGCCATGTTTCGTTACAAGAAAGACACTGCGATCAAGTATTCTAGGATCCTGAATGACCACTTTAAGGTAGGGCACGCGTATTCCTAAGCTGCCAGCTGGCCAGCTACGGTAGTTACTGATGTTGGCTGAATAGCCCAGACCTGACAAGAGTTCTGTTCTTTGCTGCAGAGTTCTTCCAGAGTAACACAAGCACCTTCTCCCTGTGTTGCAAGGTAAGATTTTAAAGTACACCTGTTGTGATGTGTCTGTAAGGGTGTGAGTGAGAACAGTAGCCAGAGTCTTTGAGTTGCAAACTGCATTTGAAAGTGCCTCACCACTCGCTCACTCTTTCTTGTCACCTGAAATCACACTGTTAGGGGGCACGAGGATGCTTCTGCTCCCTCCTTTCTGTCTTTTCTCGTTGGAAAGGGCTTTTTTTGTTTGTTACGAGGTCCAGAGTTACTGCGTATCAAGCAAAGCAATTCTCCCCCAGAGAAGCGGGTCAGAGGAGCAAGGAAGGCACCATCACTGTGCTGTTTCAGAGCCCCTGTTGTCGTCTTTGTTCTGTTAGAGAATCCTCCAGACTTCATGGGTTTCCACTCCCATCTCCCTGGCCACTGTCCAGTTGCTTTATGCCTTCACCCTGGGGTAGCATAACCTTGAGGCGATACTTTGATGTTTTTTCTCTTTAGCTCAGTTACCAACTAAGAAAAAGAAACTAATTTTCTAATTTGTGAGTTCCTGAGCATTTTGTCCTTCCTGTGTACCTGCCACGGTGTTGCTGTGTACGTGGCAGCAAAAGGATAGGGCAGGCTGTCACATAAGGGTGTTTGACCCGATGCCCAGCAGCCTGGGCCTGTGTTTTTATGACAGTGAGTAAGAAAGAGTTTTTCTGTGTGCTGTGGTAATTGCATTTGGCAGATAGCTCCCTGGAAATCCCAGTTATTTATCTGCCACCGTGCACAGTCCAGTTTATTGGGAAGTAAATGGTCTCCCAATAGCAGTGGTGGGAGCTGCTTCTAACCGTGACTAACATCAGGGTGGCTGCAGTGGTGGGGTGGAGCGGTGCGATGGAGCCAGCCTGTGTCTGGAAGGTGGGCAGCTGACTGCGTGTAGCTTCCCATGGTCTGTAAAGGAGCGTGTGTAGGCTGAGCTGGCTGCTTTGACAAGCTGTCAGAAAGCTCCAGCCTCCATAGGCGGCAAGCTTCAGCGCACCTGAAATGGAAGTCATTAGGAAAAAACACTTGTATCATCTGGTGGAGGCTTCCACAGGCAGGTGTAGATTTTGGAAGGTGAGTGGGTGGCCCTTTCTGATGTCTGGTCCTGCATTTTCTTTTGTCAAGAGGAGTGGAGTCCTTAGAGTCGCCAGTCGCTTCAGAAACCTCTGGCCTTGCACTCAAAGGACAATGGCTTGTTACGTAGCTGAACACATCTCTGTTTTCAACACTCCGCTCCATACTGCAGGCCTGGATGATACCACTAGCTCTTGGCTAGTGGATTGTCTTGTGGCAAGACTTTTAACTCTGAGGTTAGATGTTTATGACGGGGTTTGTTTCTCCTGCAGAAGCACAGGTGTACCTTCTCCTCTGTCTCCAATGCCCTCTCCCGCCAGTTCGGTGACTTCTCAGCCAGGATCGAATGCTAGCAACTGCAGTGGCAACAGCACTGGCTCTTCCGTCACTGTCCCCTACAATATCCCAAGCATCACCTCTTCCTACGTCAACATCACTTCCTATATCCTCTATGCGTACGATATTTGGGAACAGGCTGATGCACTGGCCAGGAAGAATAAGGGTAAGTTTTTGCCCTCTGGTTTTCTGCCTTACATGTTGTGGTTGTGCGCATGTACTTGCTTCAATCCTAACACTCCGTGTTGCAAACACCATACCTAAAGATGAAAGCATTCAGGATGTTGATACAGACAGCTATGGCACAATGGCGGGTTATTGGCAGATACTTGATGGTGATATTTTGGTGAGATTGTCTTGGCATCCTCAAATGTCTAAGAGCTAAGGGATGAGGGTATCAAGTGCAGGAAACCAGCCAACTCGCTTCATGGTAACACAAGAAGTTAAATCTGCCTGAGATGCCCAGCTATAAGCAACCCAAATCAGAGCTGTATAGCCTGGCAAGCCCTACAAGTTTTTAAAGCTGTTCAGCTGAGAAATCATGTCTCCAAGGTTTGAGGGTGGATGAAGGAAAGGGAGTAGTCCAATGACAGCTGTGTGTGCTCCCAGCTAGTGCTCAGAAAGTCACTCAAATTTGGCGTGTTTTAAATCCTGAGGGAAGCACGCGGCTCATGTGTGAGCACCCAAACTTTTGCCCATCTACTGTGGAGTCTCAGTGTCCTTTTAAAGCCATCAGCTGGGGAGGCAGTTCAGTGTGTGTACATGAGTGTGAGTGCGTTTTCCTCTCCTGTGCCCTGCCTCCTGTGCTCGTTACACTTCCCAGCCTTCTGATGTTGCTGAGCTCTCTGCATTAATGCTGTGTTTAATGGGATTTGCCAACTGACAGGGCGCTGCTCTTGTCCCTCCTTCTGCCCCCTTGCCTGTCAGACATGCCTGTTGTGTGAAACCAACCAAATATTTTCTCTCTCTCTCCCCTTTTTGCAGAGTTTTTTGCTGAACTCAGCACAGCGACGTGCGCTCTGGCACTGAACAGCAGCATGGCCGAACTGGTACACTACACTAGACAGGGTTTACAGTGTCTGAGACTGGAAACAAATTCGCCTTAACTGGTGCTCAAGGTGGTTAAGTACCTTGAACTTTTTTGCACTTTTGAAGCCTCAGAAACAGCCTGACTTGTTGAATCATTGGCTACAAAGCACCTGCAAGGGAAAATAAATCAAGGTGGAAGGGATCTGGTTACACTGGAAAAGCTTGGAACTGTGTTTTTAGGGTAGCGCTTTTGCTGCCTTGAAAAAGAAGAGCTGGAGGAAAGCCTCAGCGTTGATGGCACCTTCCTTTAAAGCGACAAAGTGCAATGAATTGTCTGAATGGCTCAATGTATTGATGGTCAATAAACATTTCTATTACAAATAACCAGCAGGACAATAATCACACATGAAGAAGTGCCGACAAGAAGGAAATCTGCCTCCAGAGGTTATTAGGCAACATCCCACAGTCTGCAGCAGCTGTGTGCCCAGAAGACATGTCAAAGTGGTTTTGCCAGCACGGATTCAATCTTTGGTGTCTTTGTTCTTCGGATGGCAAGCAGCAACCTCAGGAGCACCAAAGAGCATTATGTTAGAGTCAAAACAGTCAAAAGCACTCTGCCCTGCCTGCTTTCCAACCTCACCCTCTTGCCTTTTTCCGCCAGCTGCTGCCCTGAAAGTGGAGGGAAAGCCACTGCCTTCAGTGCTGCAAGTTCACTTTAAGTCATCGCTGCTTTGGTCCTCCTCCTTGCCATGCACCCGCACACACACGTGCCCTTAGCACTCAAACTGTGTTACTGAGGGTCTTGCTGGGTTTAAGCCTTGTAAGTCAAACGCAGCTGGGGTGGCAACATGAGCCGGTGTGGTTGGAAACAGCTCTGCCTGTCTCCTGTGGTGGAGGGACGTCACTCACGCGCAGGACTCCTTGTCCGGTTTTTTTTTGGCCTTTTGATGGGTGGGGGTGGAGAGCTCTACTGGGTCACTGGGATTGCTTGGATGTTGTTCTGAGTCTGAGAGCCTACATGGGCAGGAATTGCTTCTGTTTAAGGAAAGACTAAGTGGCTGAATGTGGAACATAAGACAAATTTTGCATTTGGATATTTGCCTGTGACTGCTGGTCTCGGTAAATGTCTAAGAGCAGGATTTGGTACCAAAGTAGGACATCCTTCCTGTGGGAGACAGGGCACGTGCTCTTTCTCAACTACAGGATGGGCCCAGTGACTTGGAAATCTGTCACAAGAAGGTGAAAGGGAATCATTAGCTGTTCACAAGCATTTTTTCCTTGTCAGGAGCTACATTTTTGAAATTGTGATTGTGCAGGTGACAGTAACAGTGAAGGCAGCATCCTCAGCGTCTGTGTATTCAGGAAGAGGACACCCTTCTCCACCCAAGGGTTTCCTGTTTGGTGACAGCAGCGTCCTACCGTCCTTATATCCAATACTGTGCCTTAGCCCCCTGGTCCCCTTTCACATCCCTCGCCCTATCTCTGACAGGCCTGTGGGAGCGGCAAAGAGAAGGATGCTATCCCAAAATTATTGGGGGGAAGAATTAGCTCCCTTGTCCACATACTTTCCAGATGGAGGGACAGGTCTGCACGTGTGCAGTGGTCCCCGCTTTGTAAAACACCTGCTCAGGGGTTTTGAGGCTCATGAAAAGAGACAGTAAATAGATGCCAGAAAAAGGTCTGTGTTTCCAACAGTAGTTTCTGTAGAAATGGCTCCAGGGAAGCCTGTAGTCATTTTGCCCCTGGGAGGAGCTGGCAGGAGCGTGCTGTGACTCTGCCCTAGTCCCAAGCACAAGGGAGCTCTGCTCTCCTGTCCCCTCCCCTGGCAGCACAGGACTCCCGGGACCCTGCCTGGGTCTTTCTGCACCTTGCAGGGACTGCCCTTTTATGTGCACTTTAGTAAAAGCCTTAGTGCGTTTCAGGGATAAGCTGTCCTAACCAGTGGAAGGAAGGTCCATGTCCCCACCTCCCCGTTTTCCCTATCAAACTTTACTTGCACTCCTTCTCCCTGGGGGACCAACTGCTCTGAGTAAGGCAGGGAAGAGAGGGGCTCGGCATGAACTGTTCTGGTCTCAGGAAGCACGGGGATGGCCCACCGGCCTGAAGGCTGACGTGCCTGATGTGCACTTCGGAGCTCAGTTGCAGACCACTGGGTCAATGCCGCCCTCTGACTTTGTCTTCACTTACACCTATGTTCAGGATCCCCAGCTGAGGAGGAGGAAGGAAGGAAACAAGCTTTATTGAACCTGAAAACCGCTGTGGGAGTCTGCAAGAACCGCAGCAGAGTGTCAGGGGAAAGTGTAAGGTGAAGCAGGGACAGGGGTCCCCCCAGAACTTTCATTTGCCCACACCCATCTCCCTCCCTGCTGCCAGGCCAGGTTCCCATCGGAGAGGCACTTGCTCACAGCTTGCCCCCCCCAGGGGGACCTCCTGCTGCCACTGCCCCCATCCTGCATCCAGCTTGGTGCAGCCCGTGGGTGTACCAGGTCCTGTCCTTTTCTGCCTTTTGGGCAGTTTGCTGCCCAGATAGCGATAATCTGCTGCCCTGCTCCCAGGAACGTTCATCGGGCGAGCAAAGTCGGTAGGAAGACCCCCGGCAGGTGAACTACTGGCATTTGCTTCTTTGCACTTGGGAAAAGGCAGCCTGTGCTCGGCCACCCTGCAGAGGTGGTCTTGCAAGGGCTGCTCCCCTGCTCCCAGGGCCAGCTCCCCTGGGCTTCAGAGAGAACCAGATCACGGGCAGTTTGTCTCGCAGGCGTGTGGGGAGCTATTTGGGGGCACTCATTTCAAAAGCCATCTGTGGAAGCATCCGTATCAGGCTACATAGCAGGAAGCTATGTTTTGTTTCAGGTCACGGAGAAGACTGTTTAAATAATAGGTAATTGTTAAAAAGCCATCGTGTTTCAACCTTGAGCCAGGTCAGAGGCCTGCAAAGGGTTAGGAAAGATGCTCATCGTTTTCACTTGGGTCTGTTCAGGCCTTTAAAAAAAAAAACAAAAAAACAAAACAAAACCAAATAAAAAGCCAAACCAACCCAAACCAAAACGTAACAGTAGAGGAAGTAGCATTTGCCACGAGGAAAGAAAACAATGAATTCAAGGAAAAAGAGGTGATGGTTGAGTCCCAGGAGGAGAGGAGGCAGCTCTGGTGGCAAAGCAGCATCATTTCCATGCCATATTTACTTAGGAGAAGTAATACATGTGTTGAAATTGTCAAATGTTCTGTTTTTAAGATGCCATTTATTTAATAGTTGAAAACACCACTTCCATGGAGATAGAGATCTCTTCTGTAACTGATAGTCAAAGTCTGACTGCAATGTTCTTGATTTTGGTTTTGTCCTCTACCCTCCCTCTTGGTTCCCATTATCAATCTGTACACCTTAAACTTATTTTGGTGGTGTATGTCCCTCTTGTAAATAACTTTTTCTGCCCTGTGTGTGACGGAGTTTCCAAGATGGTCAATTCATTCATGTGGGGAAATAAACAATAAATGAAGTAGCCGATGTGTTATGAGTTGTTACAGGAGTTCTTGTCTTCTCAGCTCCTTGTAGAGAAACTGTAATTTGCCTTTTCTCTCTGAATGGTCTTACTGTTTCCCTTCTGAATGAGGTTTAAATATGAATTTCTGCACAAGAAGTCTCTGTTTCAATGACTCCCCTGTTTATCACCCCTTGCCCTTTCCTTTAGGAAGAAGAACGGGTGTAAATCCAGCTGCTCAGAGTGGCAGGAGGGTCACAACTCAAGACGTCTGCCTCCTGTCCACTTGAAGCCCATTCAGGGAAGACTGTGCTGGTGTCAGCCGCTGACGGCCACCAGAGCCTGGCTCTGAGCTGACAGGAGAACCCCACGGGTTGGTTTCACGCAGCCAAGTTTACCAGGCCTGTTTCCCATCACCTCTGTTTCCCCCGCAGGACTCCATTTGCCCAGAACACTTTTGCTTTGCCCGGTCACCAGCCGGTCTCCTCACAGAGAGACATATCCTCGGTTAGAAGGCACCACCCTGGCTTCGCAGACACTCCTGCGTCTGACACACTCCCAGCCCTGCTCTCCCACCCGCCCCAGTCGTACTTAACAGGCGGTTTTCTTACCCGGCCCTGAGCACAGAAATTGTTGGCTGCCACGGGTAACTCTCTTCAACTCACCAATTCTTCTTCCCCCCTTCTTTGCTTCTGAGTGTCCTCCATCCAGACAGGCCCCTCATGGAATGAGACAGGAGGTTGGAGACTGCTGAAATCAGCCAGGCACACTACCCCTGCTCTCGCTGCCTCATCCTGCAGGAGCAGGAGTGCTGGTCCTGGACTAGCCCCCAGATTGTGAGAAAGGCTTGCTCACGGACAGAGTGTGAAGAGGACAAAGTCTTTGAAGCAAAGATGCATTAATGAAAACAAAATGATTGAGTTAGCTGTTGTGTGACTCTCAAGAAAGAGCACACCTGTTACAAGAGTTCAGGCATTTTAAGCCTTCTCCTCAGGGACCTGGTTCCCTGTCCCCTTTTCCCATTGCTCTGGTACTTCAGCGTGTACACTCTTAGCCTGTCACAGCACACCCCATTCCCCCAGCAACTAACTCCACATATATAACACCCCCCCTTTTCCACAAAAATGGCTACAACACACAACATGGCTGAAGCAAAATCCCCGAGTCATTTCTCACAGCATGATCTGTGTCTCTGCAAGCTCTTGAAATAGAGTGTTCTCACGACATCGGTCTGGAGCAGCATGGAGCTTGCCTCCAAATCATACAAGATGAGTTGATACTGATGTGGGAAGCAGTTTTCAAAGTAGAAAAAAAATAAATCAATATTTTGATTTCATAATCCCATTGCAAAGCAAAAAGCAGCTGTGCCTAAAAATCACGGCTCTCCCTCTGGCCGAGCGGCCAGGCCTCCTCAGGACACTTATCTCCCAACCAACCTCCCAAGCCAGCAGTCTCCTGTGCGTGCTGAGGAGCCCTCCCCCAGGCAGACTGTGGGCATCAAAAGACCCAGCAAGGCCCCAGGGCCCAAGGGAGGCCTGAAGGTGGAGAGTGACCCTGCTCCTTTGGAGGTCAGAGACCAGTCTTCCCGAGACAAGCCAAAAGTCAAAAGGAAAGTGAAGCCAAAATCCAGCGACAGAGGCGACGCGAAGGCGGCACTGCAAGAGCCCCCTGAGAACAGAAAGCACAAGAGCTCCCACCAGAGCCATGCCAAACCCTTGTTGGACCCCAAGCTCAGGAGAGAGGTTTTGCTTGGCGGTGCCCAGGAGCATCTCGCTCTCAGTCCCCTTCCTCAAAGCCAGGGCACAACCCCCACCAGGACTAGCAGCCACAGGCCTGCTGTTGTGGCCAGAGAGGACTTTCACAAGGAGAAACTTCCCTTGCCTATGAGGGAGAAGACGTTGCTCTCGCCAGTGACGGACCCCCCTGTGCCTCAGTCCCTCATGGTGAAAATAGACCTCCCTCTCCTGTCCAGAGTCCCGCAGCCCCCTGGAAAAGGCAGCCATCAGAAGAGAGCAGAGGCCAAGGAGCTCCCTGGTGCAAGGAAGCAGGATCTGGAGAGGAAAACCACAGACGCTCCTGACAAGTCCCTTCGGAAGAGGAAGGTGAGAGGTAGAGGTGGAGGTGGGTTGGGTTTGTACGAGGACCGAGGTGGTGTTTGAAACACCCACGTGGAGAATTCATTTCCCTGGAGCTGCTGTGGTGCTAGCCAGCCCTTGATTTCCCTGAGGTGGCAGTAGCTCCCAAGTGGTTTTGGAAAGCTGACTCCCAGAGGGGACTGTGACTATCCTTCAGCCAGCTGGTTCAGCTGCACAGAGAGGTGGCTGCAGGCCTCATGGCCCATGGGTGTTCGCTGTGGACATCTCAGTGCCTGGACACCTGTGTGGTTCTCCTCATGGAGCAGGTGGCTTAGCATGTGTGGGGGAATGAGCTTGGCTCCCGCGCGGGTTTCTTTCAGTCTTGTCGTTTTCTGAGCTTCCCGTAGTTGTGGGGGAGAATTGAGAAGAGCAGGGAAATGGTGAAGAAACTGGAGAGACCCCAGCAGTGCCCCTCTTGCAGGGCAGCGAGAGAAAGGGCAGTAAATCTGTTGCTTCTGCTGTTGTCTCAAAGAGCTATCTCAGACATCTTTGGCGTGTGAGAAACGGTTGCTCACTAGCAGAATGTAAAGAGGACAAAGTCTTCGAAGCAAAGATAACAATTTATTAAAACCATACCCTCACCTCAGCTGAATTGCGTGCCTTAACAAAAGTGTCAGACCTCCCGGTATTTATGCCTTCCTGCCCCTCTTCCCGTTGGTTGGGTACTTTAGGGCTCACATTGTCCGCCATTGGTCACCCTGCCACAGGCCTCATCCCCCCCTTGCCTTCGGGAGCTGTTCCCCCCAGACGCCCCGTCCTGCCCACACCCCAGCACCAGCCTCCTCCCGCAGCCCCCGCCTGGTGTGTCAGCAAATGGCTGAAACACACAAAATGGCTGAAGCGAAAGCCCTGAGCTCATCTCCCACAATCCACCCCCTTTTTCTTATCACATTTTTTTGCTGAAGCCCATAACTTTGTTCTAATTTACATAGTATTAATTGTAGTTTTTCACCTTGTTCTTCTTTCTTCCAGTCTCTTTTCTTCAACACCGTGAGCTTCTGAGCTGCTATATCCTGGCCCGAGGATGCCATCTGCGGATTCACTGGGAGACTGGTTACTTGCATTCCTTCTGCTACACTAAAAATCAATCGTATAAAACAGGGTAAAAAGAGTAACTCAGCAAATGCACATAATAGGAAGAAGACCACCTTTTCTACCAAGCCACTCTTAAAAGGCTATCCCACCAGCTGGTGTCTATCACAGGCTTCCATTTTTGCACTGGGACGTGTAATTTTCTGATGTTTGTTGCTGTATTTCTTACAGCTTGTCCGTTATCATCAATTTTAAGACAACACTCTGAGGTATTAAATTTGCCACATACTCCACCTTCTTCTGCTAGCAGGTAGCCTAATGCTAATCTATTTTGGTATATTGCCGATGTCATTTGTGTTTGTTGAATTGTTAATAATTCTGAGACTGAGGCTGTCTGATTCGTAATCAATAACCGCTTGTAATTGGGTTGATAATTAGGTTACAAGTACCACTTGTAACCTAATTATCCTATTTAACATATAAACAAGTGTTCGATATCCCCAGCAACAATCTTGTGTCCATGTCGCCAGTCTGCAAGTTTCTATCATATGCTGAGGGGGCCATTCATTCTTCCCCCATTTTTGAGTTCCTCATATCTGAATAGACAACTGTTTCCTTCTTATTAGCTCATCATCTAATTGAGCTCCCAGCCCAGCTGCCCGCGTTTGAGACAAGAAGAAAAAACTTAGCTGTTTTGCTCTGCACTTCAGCTTTCAAAACCTGAGGGGTTTTTTTCCCCCCCTTTCTTCCTGTTCCAGAGGGAGATGGAGAAGGAGATTGATAGGAAGAAAATTAAATCAGAAAAAGAAACAAGATCTTTGCAGTCTTCAGCTAACAAAGACTAGCTGTTGGCTTAGCCGTTGTGCTCCTTAATTTCTCCATGCTTGGGAAAAGTGTGAATGGTACTGAGCCTCACTAGCAGTCAGGTAAGAAGCCAAGTTTGCGTTTCCATTATTGGAGGGGGTGCTGGGGAAGAAGGTAGGACGAGCTGGAGAACCTGGAGTATGATCTGTGCCTGGGACAAATAAAGGTTTTGTCTTGAAATGTAGGAGAGCCAGGCTTTGGAATTGGTTTAGACGTGTCTCTCTAACCAGCTTTGTCTCTGCTCTGTGGTTTTTCAGGGATGTGTAGGGGATGTCACAAATCCTTTCCCAGTGCCTTCTGTGCCAAATGGTACCTCCAAGTCGAGCAGACCTCAACTCAACTTTGAAAAGTAAGTTCTCTGTTTTACAGCCCTCAAGTACTTTCTGAAGACTCCAGGCAAGACTGGCCCTGCAGCCACCCTGGCTTCTGCTTCTTAATGAGCCTTTCTTTTGGGAGGAAAGAGAGAGGAAGAGTTGTCTGAGACGTCCTTGTACTGCCTTCTTTTGGGTGGGACTTAGCCCACCCACCAGACTGCAGAGGTCTCATTGGAAGGGTTCTTGGTTTGAGGGAAGCTACTCTGGAAATGCAGTACTTTTTAACTCTGAGAGGAGGTTTCTTGTGCCTGCCTCCAAGGGGCGGGTTTTGATGTGTCTGATTCTTGACAAGTGGCAGGGTTCTCTGTGACAAGGTGTTTGTCACATGAGAGGGCATGACTCTGACTTGCTCGTTTTGTTAGCACACAGGTGGCTGTGTGCCATTTGCACAGTGAGTAGATGATCCCAGTGCACAGAAATGCGTGTCTTGATCGAGACCAAGGCCTGTAGAAGTCTTGGTGACCATATCTCTTGTAAGCAAATAACTTGAATGTAGACTGAGATGAGTGTGTGGTACTGCAAAGTATACTGTATGTTTCAAATAAGATGTAGTTGTGGTGTTGTACTTGAGGAAGGGTAGGAGATGACATAATTACTGTCTTCCCATGGGAGCAAATAAGTGAACTTCGCCTCACAGTAGCCTAATCCTAGGAGGGTCATGACTCAAGACCCATCTGCCTCCTGTCCACCCGAAACGCATTCAGGGAAGACTGTGCTGGTGTCAGCCGCTGACGGCCACCAGAGCCTGGCTCTGAGCGCTCGCTGACTGGAACACCCCACGGGTTGGTTTCATGCAGCCAAACAAGTTAAACCAGAAGGCGAGGAGACAGGGCACAGAAATGGTGGTTGAAGGGTACTGCTCTGCCTTTGCCACAAAGGTTTTGCAGGGCTCAGAGCTGGAGAAGGTCTGCTGAGGTCTGGTCCATGGATACAGACTAGACAGGAGGAGCTGCCTATGTGAATACAGCTATAGATATATATATATATATATATGTAAACTAAAACACGAGTTTTGACTTGGTCATCTTCAAGTTCTTCAGATGAAAGCAACGTTGATCAGAATTATAAAGATGAAATTAAAAGAAGCTGCCTGGGGAGGGGGAACTTCTTGTTTTGCTGAGATGTCTCACCCTCCTGTGTGCTCTGCTCACACGCAGTTGCACAAGCACAGCCCCTGGTGCAGCTTCGCTCAGAGGGGAGGGTCGATGCGGCTGTGCAATTTGTGATTGTGCCACGCATCTGCCTTGGCATGGGGTTGCATTTCTCAAAATATTCAGCCACACAAACTTGTTACTCATTTTGCCACCTTTTGAGGGAAGATAGGAAAATGTTGTGTTTCAAGTTTTTGACCTTGAAGTTTGAAATTCAGGTGTCCCTCCTGATGAGCGTGTGATGCTGGGATTCTTCTGTCAGTCCTACTTTGGCAAAATATTCAAGCATGTTTCCAAAATCACATTGATTTTGCCTGGGGTTGGGTGTGTTTTACTGGGCCAAGCTCTGGATTCCTGGTAGGTAGGGATTTTCCTTTTTTCCTCTCTCCTCGTGACTGCACAACCCCTGTCTCTTGCTTTATAACATGAAAAAGAAGACAGAATTTGTCCTTTGTTGTACTGGTTCTTTTTGTATGACAGCTTTGACCTTCCTTCAGTGAGGATAACTTTAATGAAGGTAGGTAATTAACCTTCTGCTCAAAGCCACTCATGGGTGGGTGTGAATTGGCACCACACATGGGAATCTCAGCCCAAGCCCAAGGGGCTGGAGCTGGCAGTGCCCCAACTAACGACTCCAGCAGGGCTGTGCTGGGTGTTTCTGTGGCCACGAGCTTTACAGAGCAGGGCAAGCGTATGCCCACATCATCTTTCCTTTTTTCCCCTGGGACAGGCTGTGGTGGAGGGAGTGTTGGCATGCCTCGGAGCGGGGCTGGTGCCGAGGCGAAAGGGGCTTCGCCTGAAAGCTGGAGTGTGTGTGTGTGCAGGCACACAGGCAGGAAAAGGCAATGTGTGGAGCAGCTCCTCAGGGGAGCCTGAAGTTGTAGAGCTTTGGTGGTAACTGGATAAGGAGGATGATGGTTCCCTGGCCTCGGGGTGCTCCGGCCACCCACGGCAGGTGGGGAGTGATGAAAAAGCAAGGGAACTTCAGCTAGGGTGAAGCTGAGCCAGGAGTGAGGGCCTGGGAAAGAAGAGGGGAGAGAGACATGGAGGTCTCTTGCAGGTGAAAGAAAGACCTCGGGAACCAAATGTCAGTAGCGAGAGCGGCCAGGAAATGTGTGTAGGGGAAGATAATTTGCTTAGGATTCTTGGCCCCAATCAAGTCTGACCCGTCAAGCAAATGAAGACACAAAAAAGTTTCTTGTTGGCTACTGAACCAGAGCCAAGCCTCACTGCCACTTCCAGGAACAACTATAACTGCAGAGTTGCCTGCTTCGAGTATTAATTTTCAGGACCATGAATTTAATAAGCATCAGAGCAATTCTCCCGTGGGATGCTGCCAGGCACAGGGGTGCTTCAGGAGCCAGGTGGGCAGCTGTAGCCGCGACTGCGTTCTCCTCATCACAGCCCAGTGCCTGTGTCAGCGTGTCTCTGTCAGGACGCTGGTCGCCGCGTCACCTAACGCAGGTTGTGTGTGCTTGTCGAAAGATCTGTCACCCTTTCGGTGGAACACTTAGGGCAGGTGTGTATTTGCATGGGCTTTTTGCTTAAAGTGATGGAACACGATAAGCCCTGCAGCCCAGAGATGTCAGGTGGCAGTAATGGCACAGCTGCCTGTTGGCTTTTGTGTGTGTGTGTGTGTGTGCTGGAAGAGCTTTAAAATGAAACTGTCTGGAGTTGGAGGAATTGCCTTAAAATGACATGAAATGGCAGCAACACCAATCTTGCTGACAGCCAGGAAAGAATGACAAGTATGAGTTTCATCTCCTGGCTAGGAGCTGGAACTTCATTTGCTGCCAGATCCAGTGGAGAGAACATGCAAAGGTGTAGAAAACCTTTGAAACAGGTGTGGGAAAAGCAGCCAGCAAAAAATTTAAGTGGAGCATCTGGAGTAAAGGACTTGGGTTTGCAAAAATGTGCCCTGCAGCAATGTTGATGGTAGTTTTAAAAGCAGTTTCAGCATAGATGAAGATAGAGAGCCCTGTTTAACTGTGGGAGTGACCTGAAGTTAGGGACTTTCCAGGCGTTTGTTCTCATTAAGCTTCAGCAGGTGAATTGGCTGAGTCTTTATTTCCTGATGATGACTTGTTTGTAAAATGAATCTCAGTGTCCTTTGGTGTTGGAGCCGTGGTCCCATCACACAGGATCAGGCTGAGCATCCTGCAGCTGTCTCTGCAGACAGAGCAGGGGAAGTGCAGTGAAGGAGTTCAAGGCCACCACTTCTGTGTCTCAGGGTGGGTCAGGGCAGTTACGTTGGGCTGGAGCTGTTGGGAGCTGCACACTCAGTGCTGCATTCCCAGCTCTCCATTTTGTTAAAAGATAATCCTCGATTTACTCAGGAGCTTTGCAGAGCCGACCAGGCCTGCCCCCCGCTCCTCAGTGTTTGCTCTTTGTAGACATCCTTGCCCCTTGATGTGAATGTTCTCATGCAGCTCCTTTCCAACTCCTGGGACAGGCAGAATCCCACCAGAGTGAAGATGTTGTTGCAAGTGGAGGTTAGACACAAACTGGGGACAGAATGTGCAGGCAGAGGGCAGGAAGGCAGCCTGATATGAAGTAGGTGCACACAAAAGTTGGGAGCAGCAGAGCCATTGTTGTGGCCATGCAGAACATCTGGAAGGTTGATCAGGACTGGTTTTGGAGCCCCTCTGAGCATGTCGCAGATCAAGCAAAACTTGATCAGAAAGAAGACTGTATTGCTTTAAGAGTAAGATTGTTTCGAGCCGGCCGGACAGGAGAGAAAACCACGGTGTGTGTCTGTGAAGGTCAGGCTGGAAAACCGCCTGGAGGAGTGTGTGCAGAGAGAGGTGGCTGAAGACACTCACGTTGGTGAGAATGGGAGTGCTCTCCTGTTTGGGCAGACAGCTCAGAAACCAGGTCTGTGTGTGCAGCTGTGTGTGTGTGAATAAACTGCTTGTGCTGCTGCTGCTGCTGCTTGTTGCACACAATTGCGTCCTGATGGGTCATCACTGCCAGCCATCTCCTGCAACGTCCTGGGGATCTGCCAGCAGTGTTGCTGCTGGGCTGTCTGCATCTCCACTGCTGCACGGGAGTGTGGTTGGATGGAGCACAGAGAAAGAGGCGGTTTGGCCCCAGGGCTGGTTCCAGCGTCTGCTGCCAGTCCTGCTGGCAGCAATTGTGCTTTCGTTTAATCATCTTTCCACTTCTCTAAGAAAAGAAGTGTCTCAGCAGGTCAGGAGCAAGAGAAGTTCCTCTGTTTTGGTGAATCAGTTGCTTCCAACATGTTCAGTCTCCCCCGCCCGCATCCCTGCATGCAGCATCGATACTGGCATCACTGCCCCCAGATCCTACCCATCCAAACAGAGATCTTGGAGACAGGGACGGGATCCCTCCTGCACCGGGCTGGGGCCAGAGTGGCCTCCTGCTTCCCTGCAGCAGCCCGAGGCCGCGGGTCCGTTGCCGGTGGCATCCCCGGGGCGTGCGCAGAGCCCCTGCCAAGGCCGGGCTGTTTGCTGGCTGCATCCCCCGCTGCGGGTGGGCATCTCCAGGGAATTGTTTTCTCTCAGCCCATGTGCCAGCCAGGAGGAAACAGTCTTCCTGACGGGACTAAGGGCATGCATATATTTTGTTTGCCTTTTAAAATAGGCAAGTAGACCTTCTAAAATCTTGTGTCCCCATGCAAATGTTTTAGCAGGACGTCTAATCCAAACAGCTTTGCGGCAAGCTCGGCTCTATTGGGAGTGAGGGGCTTTTGGGGAAGAGCAATATTCAAAAGTAATCAAAGTTGTCAAAGTATGACCAAATTCTCACAGTCCTCTTTGAATGTGAATAAGGTATGAATTTAAGATTATTTTGAGAGGATGCATTTGCAAACGTGAAATAAACACCACTACACAGAAGAACCTTGCATCCTCACGGTGTTACAGCATGTCCTGAATTAACACATTGAGGTGCTGGAGCGGGTCCAGAGAAGGGCAACAAAGCTGGTGAGGGGTCTGGAGACTAACTCTCATGAGGACAGGCTGGGGGTGTTCAGCCTGGAGAAGAGGAGGCTGAGGGGAGACCTTCTCGCTCTCTCCAACTCCCTGAAAGGAGGGTGTAGCCAGGGGGGGTCGGTCTCTTCTCCCAAGTCACAGGCGATGGGACAAGAGGAAACGGCCTCAAGTGGCACCAGAGGAGGTTCAGGTTGGATTAGGAAAATGTTTACATGGAAAGGGTTATCAAGCCTTGGAATGGGCTGCCCAGGGAAGTGGTTGAGTGTCCTTGAAGATGTTCAAAAGATGGGTTGACATGGTGTTGGACATGGTTTAGTGATGTTTTTTTTGTCAGAGTTAGGCTCCTGGTTGGACTAGATGGTCTTGAAGGTCCCTTCCAACCTAGATGATTCTATGATTCTATGAAATACAATCAGAGAGGACTACTTGAATGTGGTGATCAGAAATCTAACTGAAGGGGTTAGAAATGTAACCGGGGGGCAGCAGGAGAGCTGAGACGGGGAGGTGGCGTGTCCCAGAAGCTGGGGCAGCGGTGGGGTGGCTCTTAAGCCCTGGCTGTCCAGACACAACTGAAGATACGTGGCCATGGGGGGGGGGGGCGGGAGAAGCTGGGGCAGCGGTGGGGTGGCTCTTAAGCCCTGGCTGTCCAGACACAACTGAAGATACGTGGCAGGGGGGGGGGGGCTGGTCAGTCCATGGTCTGGTCTTGTTCCTCCTGAAAGCCCATGGCACATTGCAGATCAGCAGGCTGGAAACTTTGCTGTGAGGAACTGGGAGTCTTACAAGAGGATTTTTCCTTTGTGTTTAAAGGAGGTACTAAGAGACATCTTTGGGCTAATTATTTTTATGGGTGAGTTCAAGGCTATTAGGTGCAGGAAAAACGCCATTAGTAGAAGGGGTAACAGTTCCACATTTGGGATCAGATGTGCATGGTGTTTGGGCGCAATGAGTTCTTGACCCTGACTGTTTAAAGACTTTGCTACCGCAAATCCCGAGTGCAGTTTGAAATGGGAAGGTGCAGTGGGAGTGAGGGAGGGGTGCCTCGCCACGGGGAACAGGGTGGGCTGCTCTCCTCCCTCAGCCTGGGGAGGTTCCTTCTTTGCCATCACCAGCTTGTTGCTGGTACTGGAAGAAAAAAAATGAGTTTGCTGGTGTTAAATCACACCGGAGTTATATGCAGGGAAGTCATTAGCTTGGTGCCACAGTAATCCTATAATCCTATCATTTTTTTTAAAATGTACTTTGACATCACTGTCACGTTTCCAGCAATAGTGTTTCTAGAGACAGTTCTGCACAAAGTATTTGTAGCTCTGGTGCCATCTAAGCTTAATAATGTGGATACGGGCAACAGGGTTGTTCCTTGCACATCTTTTTCCCAGCTTTCTTGCCAGCCGTTAACCGTCCGCCTCCCGGAGCCTTCGCACAGACGTTGTTGGGAGCGGTGGTGTGCGATCCAAACGCAACGGAGGTGCTCAGACCCAGCACCGTTTGCCTTCCAGCCAGAGGGGTGACAGCAGAGCTCCTCCCGCACCACAGGGAATCCCCCTGCGTTTGCTGTCACCTCATTTCCCTGCCGAGCACACACGTGGTGCCTGGAAGGTGATTGCTGTCAGGGTGGGCAAGGTGCGTGGGAGTTCCTCACAGGCTGCACCCATGGGTGCTAGCACTCTCCGGTTGAGAGAAATGCTGGCAAGCAGCACTGCCAGGCTACTTGGTTTCACAGTGCATCTTACTTGGTGGAAAACTTGCCTTTTTTGGTTCCCCTGAAGTTTTCTGGTTAGCCAGGACATCCACAGAAGAACCTGTTGGGTTCCACAACAGGAACCTGCACCTCTTCTTTCCATCCCTCCTAGCCAGACCAAGAGCCATAAGGGTGACCTTGCAGCACGATATGGCTTGTGGCTGCAATGCAGGATTTTCCCTGCTGACAAAGGCTTCCTGATGAGAATTATATTCTGCAGAAACCAAAAAATACTCCATCTTGTAATGTTTCCCCACAACAGCATGCTCCAGTCATACTAAAAACAAGGTGATTTGAAGTACAAGTGCTTTATTGCAAGGTTTCATTATTTACAGTACCGTTCACTGTGTCCCTGGGGGCTACTGAAGCCCAAGCCTTCTGAACCAGAAACAAAGCTAAAATGCTGGCAACTCAACAGCAGAACATGACTGTGCCTTACGCTCCCACTGTCCTGTCTCTTCCCTACTACTGCACACAGAGAAGTTTACTGCTCCCCCGGCCACTTGGCACAACCTGGTCATGGGACACTGTGGTTGCAAAGGACTGGCAGTTGCTGGTCTGCTCAAGGAACAACAATCTGCTGTCTTTCCAGCTGGACCTTACTTGGAATTAATGGTTTCTAAACGTGTAACCAGATGCGTTTGTACACCAAATTGTCAAGTTCCTGTCTCAGTTTTTGATGTTTATTTCCAGCTCTTTTTGTTGCTGAGTCTCTTTGGTTTAGATAAGCTTTAAGTTATCGACCTGTTTTGAGGCTGGATCTTCCTGGCTCAACTGTCGTAAAAGAGCCACTACCTCTGGGATTACCACAGAGTGGCTACTGGATGCTGGAAGTGGATGTGTCATCTCCTAGAATTGCACTGAAAGGTCTTTACAGAACACCGCAACTTCTATTAGATGTTTCCATTTCATATAAAAACAGTGATTCAGAAACTTGCCTTTTGGTGGGGGTAGTTATTGAAGACTCGAGAATTCCAGCATTCCAGTGGCTAAACTCAGGTCAAAAATCTTTTCAGCTTTCTAACAAGGGGATTAGCTTGAGAAAGTACTTGGAAAGACAGTTTTCAGGCTGTGTACCTGCCATTTCCACTGCTGCCAGCAGTCCCTTGGGAGGTGGGCAGTGGACTTTGCTCATTTATCATAGTGTGCAACAGGGACATCGTTACCTTCTAAAACTCGAGATGCTTTGTCTTACAAAGCTCTTGTACAATTACAAAATGTTTGAGACTGCATTCCTGAAAATAAGTTACATTGAATGGCACTGGAGTCCTCCAGAAAAGGTGTTGCAGGCCGTTGGGTAAGGCTGAGCAGCACCAACTGCTGTGGTCTCTCCTCACCCCGTGCCGGGTTTACAGACCAGTCCCTGTAACAGTTGCCTCAAGTGATTCTGAAATTACAGCTTCTCAAAAATGGGATGATTGCAGCTCTTGGCAGGTTTTCTCCTGCGAGTTTCACTTTTAGTCCATGTATTCACAGGTTTTTCTGTATCACTATCGATAGAAAGCCACCAAAAGCTTGACAGTTGCAGAAGGTACCATTTTCACAAAGAAAATGTATTGCTTTTGTTTCGTAACCTACCATACAAAAGACGGTGTTTAAAAGCCCTACAGTGCCTCCCTTCCCATCATTCCTCTGGAATTTGGAGGAGGCAGCAGAGGTCACATGCAGTCAACAACGTTGCTGGATCCTTGTCCCACGTCCCGGATCTGGCTGCTGAGACAAGAGCACACAGCCACGCCGGCCCCTGCCCTGCAGTGTGACACAGAGCCCACCAGCTCCCACCTAAAGATGATGGCAGAGAAAAAAAAACAAAAATAAGTTCCTGTCCTTTCTGAGCAACTTGAAAGCCTTTCTTTTCTGTGTCTGAAATTCATTATACAGCCTAGTTGTATGCTCTGCACAAAAACACACTCCTTGAATCGATTCTCATTATTTGTCTGGTACATTCAGTGTGAAACCAGAACAAAGCAACCAGAAGAATGTAGATTCTTACTGAATGCAGGGAAGAGGGCAAAGGATGGGAAGAGGGAGGAGGTGGTGCCTAAATATTTAGAAGAACTACCTAGGGGCACCCCTGCATGACAGGACATACCACTCAGTTATTACCAGGAAACAACAGATAGGCTCCTCCTGCACACCATTTCTAGCATGTTGTGGTTTCATATAGGCAGATTTCACTCCCTTAGAAAGCCAAATAAAAAATTTTAAATTACCTATTGGCTATGGGATCGAACGCTTCCACTGTGTTCAGGTACGCGTTGCCGTTATGGCCTCCGACTGCAAAAATTTTACCCATCAGTGTTGCTATGCCAACACCACCCCTCGGCGTCGTCAGCTCTGCTACGTATTCCCATTTGTTACTGCGTGGGTCAAACCGCTCCACGGAGCTCAGTGGAGAGTTGTCATCGAAGCCACCTGCAAAGAATCATCACGTTATCAGGTTTTAGCCACTCCCAGTGCTGGTTGATACCCAGGACTGGCATTATCAGGCTCTTCTCAGCATTCAGGGGGCTGGTGTCCAGCTGTTTCCTTACATGAATTTTACGAGCTCCTAAAAACAAACAGCTCTCCTTGCTGTCCCCGTTACAAGCATCACCAAGAGTGACATTTTCTTCTATTCAAGTTGCAAAGAGAGGAGGCACTTCTATTATTTTTCTCCTTGAATCAATCTTACACATAATTATAATGAAACAGCTTCTTATTTGGAATAGAAAAAAACACTAAGACCAGTTAAAAGGACGGTCCTGATCTTAGTTGGCTTAAGCAAAACACACTCTTGCGATGTTTTCCAAATACAGCTATGCAGAATACTGGAGTAGAAAAAATATTCCCCAAGGCAGAGGTCAGCGATGCACTGTAGCTGGGGCAGCTGTCAGAGGAGCACTTTACTTGAAGCTTTTTTAAGTGCTGATGATAATAGACAAGGCAGAGCTCTGCAACCATGGCTATGGTGTCTTGGCATCTCCCTCCTCGGGCAAGCAGGTAAATGCAAGGAAGAGCCCAACAAGACAGGCCTAGGACAACAGGCTGTGGAGTAAGTGCAGTCGCCGTGCCAAAAAGCTGCTGTTGTCTGCACTCAAAATAGAACTAGAGTGCTTCCAAAGTGTGTGGACTTCAGAATCATTTTTTATAAAGGAAACAAGATTAACGAGTCTTGAGAGAATTACCTATACAGACATATAGACCCTGAAATGGGGGTTTGGGACTGCTTTTTATTTCCTCACTAATATACCCTCATTTCAGGATGCCCTGGTTGTGCTTGCTTTCTTCTCTTGCCCAAGAACACAAAGTGCAGGTCAGGTCTATCTGTTCCCCAGTTCCTCTGGCAACAGCAGCAGCCTCTCCCAAAGGTCAGCACTTGGCAGAAGCAGCACTACCAAGTGCCACATCCCTACTCACCAACAACGTACAGGCAGCCATGGAGCTCGCTGACACCATTGCCAGCTCTTCGCTGACCCATTTCTTTCACTTCTATCCACTTATCCAAATGGGGGTCGTATTTCTCCACACTGGAAAGAGATGCCACACCGTCATTGCCACCCACAGCGTAAACATGGTTCTGTTGTGTAGAGAAAGAGTATTTGTAGCGTAGATGTATTTACTCAGCTTTTCATAAGCAATGGTAGGAAAACATGGCATATCCCTACAGTCCTAATTATTTACTTTTTTTAAGAATTCCAACAACAGACTTAATTATCTAACAACTTGCAAATGCTATTTTCCAATTCAAGAAGTGGAAAAGTTATGCAGCATGGCAGGTATTTTGCAGATACACGGTGACAGGGGGATTAAAGTGCAGATGCAGCCAGTTCCTTCAAACACAGTAACCGTGAGAAACTCAGAGTCTCCTGAACGAGACGTAAAGCATTAGCCTGATGTTGTCAGAAAAGCTCCTGGTACTTGCTCCCAGTTCCTCAAATACTGTTAAAACGGGGAGTGCGGTTCCATTTGCCATGAGCATTATCCTAAATATCCTCACCTTTTGCACAGTTACGTAGGATTTTGATGACCAAAGCTGCTCAGACCCACCTGCTCCATTTTGTTTAAAACCTTCTGTCCTGCCTTGGAAGAGCAGATTGGAAAAGCAGGTCAGTTCCTTGGATGGCCTCAACTTGGGAGGAAGCAGACACTTACCACCAGGGCTACGGAGCCAACTCCTCCCCTGGGGGTGTTCATTGGGGCGATGGCACTCCACCGGTCGGAATCAATGTCGTATCTCTCCACGTCGCTGAAGCAGGTGTTGTCATCCAAACCTCCTATCGCGTAAATGGGGCCGCCAAGGGAGGCGAGAGCGATTCCTCTCCTAAGAAAACCGTAGGATCAATACCTCAGTGCAAATCCTCCAGGAAAGGGAATGGGAAAGGCACATCGAGCGCAATGTTACCTGACTGGCACCCGTTTCAAACTATGGGGAAAAAGGAATGGACATTTAAAAAGTGAAGTTTACAATAAATAACTGTGGCTGGCCCTCTGCACCTCTGTGTCAGTCTTGCAGCTTTATCCCAGGAATCTTTTGTATCTTTGCAGCCTCCCATTAGAGGGGCTCTAGAGTTTTATCTGAACTTCACCTCAGCTTTCCCAGGCACCTGATCCCTGAGCAGGACTGTTGCAGCCAGAGTATTTTTGGACTGCAAAAAGACAAAGCTCCTGTTTGAAAAATAAGGGCAGGGGGGCATGGAATGCTGTTTTGATTGAATGTCACCTAAGGCCCAAGTCCTCTCCTTACATGCTTGGGTATATGAGGTTGTCTCAGTTGTTTGATTTCTCAGCACTGAACTTTACACCTCCTATTTTGTTTTACTGAATGTGAGGGAGAACCAAAACCTGCTGGTTTTAACTTTGTTGGTACAGCTGCTGCTAAAAGTTGGGAATGATTTCTTTGGGAGGCGATATTAATACGTATTAAAAGGCAAACTTGTGCTGGATATTAGATGACTGAGCTCTAGCAAAATTTAATTGCATTTTCTTCCTTTCTGTTATTTTCTATTAAGTCTGTGTTAAAATAGTTGCCAGGGTTTTTTTCTACTGAATCTACCAATACAGAAGTACAATAAGTACTACAAAATGAAAAGTATGATCTATGGCAGGAGGGAGGAAGAGGAGCAAGAAGCCACTTCTAGGAGTCTGGGTCTTGTACTTTGATTAGGTCACAGCTACAAACAGCTTTAGGACTTAGCCATGCTCAGTATTTCACTCCTGCTGGTACATGATGCTTTTAGAAATAACAAGTAACAAAATGGAATGTAGAATTAAGGAGGCTGATTTAAATGACAGCAGAAACAAAAAATTACACGTTTGTGAGTCCAACAGCCCCTTGAAAGCATCTTAAATGTGAAAAGGCAAGAAAAATCCTCAGTCTGACTTTCAGTGTTTTAGTGCTTCTGGCCTTTTGTGGCAAACCCATAGGCAGCTCTTGGTTTCCTGGGCAGGAAGTATTTTGCTGCACATTTTCTGCTGGCCCTTACCTTGCTCATTCTTAAAAAGACCAAAAAACCCGCAGAAGTTAATCAGTTTCAAGTTCTTTCTCTGGCACAGCAGTGAGCCTGTATGGGAATGTAAGCACAGCTGAAGCAGAAGAACTCTCTGCTCCAGGAGCCATCCCATCAAAAAGAAAAAAAGAAAAGGATAATAGAGTGACAAAAGAAAGCCAAAGCATAAACAGAATCAAAGTTACCAGCCAGGGCCTCTCCCTGGAGAGAGGGATTATGCAGTTTTGCACTGAAATACTCACAGTACGTTATGCACAACTTTCTGTTTGTGCAAATATGTGATGGGTGTAAGTATGTGATGCAGATTTGTGTTTGTTTTACAGCTAGTTAATAAAGGTGTTTGAATGCACAAAGCACCAGAATAGGGAAAAAAACAAAAAAAACCAACCACAAACCACCTCAAAATAGCACATTTTGGAAAACCAAAGAAAGACAGGACAGACATGATGTTTCTCAGCATCAGCAAGAAATGATGTATCACAGACTAGGACTTAAATTTTGGATCATGAGACATGTACCTCTTCGTGTTCATTGATGCCTTCATCATCCACTTGTTTGTGAGAGGATCAAATACTTCCATGCTTCCTAAGTGTTCATTTCCATCATGTCCACCTACTGCGTAGACTCTACCTGAAACACAGAGGCATCTTTGGATACAGAGATTGCTTGGCAACATTTCAGTTTTTCATTTATGCAATATCCCTGGCTATGCGGTGACAAAAAGCTCAAATAAAGGTTAAAGTTCTCAAATGTTTTCAATACAAAGATTTTAATAAGTATAGATTTTATATTTTTATATGTTGTTCTCAATCAGAGATCTATTTTAACGTAGACTTTTAGACAAAGCTTGAGATACGTAGAGAAAAAAATCTTCCCATCACTTGAGTACTGCAGGTCAGATCAGTATTGGACATTTCTAGCAGTCTCTCTAGATTTTCTATGGGGAAAGAAAGACCTCTGTTCTGCTGCAGCAGCACAGGGGCTACCACTTGCAAGAGGAAGTTGCATCATGGGTACTAAGCTGTGTAGAGCTGCACGGACCTGGTTTTACAAGATGGAGACCCCAAAATAAAGGTAGGTCTTAGGGTCTTGCCTGTACGGAGCTAAGTACGAAGGGAGCTAGTATGAATATTGGCAAATTCTGGGTGACTGCTGTGCGTGGCCATTTCTTTATAAATGGATTAAAACCAGTTAAATCACCTAGTTTGGGTTGGAAGGGACCTTCAAAGGTCATTTAGTCCAGCCCCCTTGCAGTGAGCAGGGACATCTTCAAGTAGATCAGGCTGCTGGTCCAAGCTGACCTTGAATGGGTCCAGGGATGGGACATCTACCACCTCCCTGGGCAACCTGTTCCAGTGTTTGACCTCCCTCATTGTAAAAACAGTCTTCCTTTAATCTAGTCTAAATCTTCTCTCTTTCACTTGAAAGCTATTACCCCTTGTCCTATTGCAACAGGCTCTGCTAAAACGCCTGTCCCCACCTTTCTTATAAGCCCCCTTTAAGTATTGAAAGGCCGCAATAAGGTCTCCCCGGAGCCTTCTTCAGGCTGAACCACCCCAGTTCTCTCCATTCTTCAGTAAGCATGCTCTCAGGCTGTTTCAGGATCAAAACCTGCTTCATGGGGAAGAAGCTTTACTAAACTGAAGAGTATCCAACAGTTAAGCCATTGCAAGATAGATTTCTTTGGTAGAAGTACCAATTCCAGCAAAAGGAGCAAACAAGTGCCTTTTGAATCAGGATCCTTGAATAGGGTTACTGACCTCCCACAGAGATCACACCCACGTGCCTTCTCCTGCTGTTCATTTCAGGGCCGAAGAACCAGTTGTTCTTACTGATAGAGTAGCATTCAATGCTGCGAAATGGGTCACCAGATCCACCTCTACCACCAACACAGAACAGCACACCTGAAGAAGACAATACAGGTTTCCAGAAAACTAGCAGGAAGATGGGGGATAAAGCTGTCTAGCAGAGTAAACTGAAAATTATGCTGTTTGAGAGAAGTCAAATTTTACTTCAAGGGGCACAGTCGTTGCCCTGCTCGATTTGATGCTGGATTTTGGCCTTTGCTTGGCACGCTGCCATGGCAATTAACTATCTATGCTCTTGCACAAGCAATGCATGTTTTCAATATGCTTTTTGTGATTTTTGCTTAGGGAGATAAACAGTGTTTGTTAACTATAACAATGTAAAAATTAGGATTGGCAGTCTAATATCCACCACTCACTTTTGGTGTAGGTTAGCCAAAGAATGTAAAAGTTAGCTCAAGCTTCTCGCACCAAAAGATAAGTGTCCACTGTTTTCAGTATTTCTTTGAGCATAGTGCCTGGTCAGAACGTACTTAACAGTTCCAGCTTTAACACAGATAGAGCCAATCAGGATAAATAAAATAATGCTTTAAAGAAAGAAAATGACCGCTTAAGTTCTGCTAGGAAAACGCAGCACGTTACCTAATTTCCAGAGAGGTACATAATGGCTTTCCCAATTTTGCATTCAGTCCTTAAAATCACTTCTACCCAGCTATCTAACCCTGCACAGATGTGCCACCTCTTCTCCACACCACTCCCTATGGGACAATCAGACACACATTTAATTACCAGCCGTCTGCTTCCTTGGTGTTGTGCGAATGGAGTACTCAAAGTCTGGCACTGCCCTGCTGCTCAGGTGAAGGTGGTAGTTCCTCGCTTCATCCAGCAAATCCCTACATTTGAGATTCTGCTTGACAATCTCTTCCTTTGCCACAACACCCATCAGGAAACAAATGGGCAAGAGAGGCAGCCGTACCTGGCAGGAATGAACACAGTTGGAGTCACGGGCTGAGCTGACCGCGTCACATTTTCGGAGACGCACGCGGAGCAGACGGCAGTGCTGAGCCCCCTGCCAGCCCCGCGCTCTGCACGGAGAAGGGCGCCTCTCCTCATTGGTTTGGTTCCAGCATCACAGCAGTATCAACAGCTCTTTTTAGGGACAAAGGCTTGGTCACAACCAACTGCATTGAAGCAGCAGTGGAGAACGGTCCCCTGGCCCTGGCTGAGCGGAGGAGGGAGAAGTGCACCTGCCCAGCGTGACACAGGCCGCACCGCTGACTGGGCCAGGACAGCACCTGCGTCTGCGCAGGGTGGGAATCTCCCGCTCGTCGCTGGGCCAGCCTAAGAGGGCTTTTGCCAGAATGGTTCATTTTCTTTGGGTGAAACACTGTCAGCATGAACGCGGTGCCTGCTCGGGAGGTACTGGCAGTGCAGTAACACCTGTCTCCAGTGTGCACTTGACAGACTACAGGATTTAAAGAAAATAATAAAAAAAAACGTTGAACTATGAAAAACTGCTGAAACAAGATCAGCCTCTCCAAGACTGCCTTGAAACATGCTCCTCCCCACAGCCATTTATTTTCATGGATTCACAGATTTCACAGAGTTGGAAGGGACCTCTAGAGATCATCCAGTCCCACTCCCCTGCCAAAGCAGGGTTGCCCAGAGCACATCACTCAGGAGCATCCAGGCGGGGCTTGAAGATCTCCAGAGAAGGGGACTCCACACCCTCCCTGGGCAGCCTCTTCCAGGGCTCTGCCACCCTCACCCCAAAGAAGTTCTTCCTCAGATTGGAGTGGAACTTCCCATGGTCCAGCTTGTGCCCGTTGCCCCTCGTCCTGTCACTGGGAACCACTGAAAAGAGTCCGGCTCCATCCTCCTTCAACCCACCCTTTAGATACTTGAAAACATAGATGAGGTCTCCCCTCAGCCTTCTCTTCTCCAGGCTTAAGAGCCCCAGCCTTTTCTCATCAGGGAGGTGCTCCAATGCCTTAATCATCTTTGTTGCCCTACGCTGGACTCTCTCCAGCAGTTCCCTGTCCCTCTTGAACTGGGGAGCCCAGAACTGGATGCAGGATTCCAGTTGTGGCCTCCCCAGTGCAGAGCAGAGGGGGAGAATGACCTCCCTTGACCTGCTGGCCACACTTCTCTGTATGCAGCCCAGGATCCCATTGGCCCTCTTGGCCACAAGGGCACATTGCTGGCTCATGGAGAGCCTGCCACCCACCAGGACCCCCAGATCCTTCTCCTCAGTACTACTTCCCAGAAGATCCATCCCTAACCTATACTGGTGCCTGGGGTTCTTCCTCCCCAGGTGCAGGATCCTACATTTGTCCTTGTTGAACCTCATTAGGTTCTTCTCTGCCCAGCTCTCCAGCCTGTTCAGGTCACACTGGATGGTGGCACAGCCCTCTGGAGTGTCAGCCAGCCCTCCCAGTTTGGTATCATCAGCAAACTTGCTGAGGATACACTCTGTCCCCTTGTCCAGGTCATTGATGAATATGTTGAACAGGACTGGGCCGAGTATTGACCCCTGGGGGACACCACTGGTTACAGGCCTCCAACTTGACCCTGCTCCATTAATGACAACCCTCTGAGTTCTGTCACACAGCCAGGACTCAATCCACCTACCTCACTGCCCCCTCATCTAGCCCACACGTCCTTAATTTTCCAATGAGGATGTTGTGTGAGACCTTTCATGTGTCCTTGTGAGGGAAACACTGAGTAATAGGAAGCGCAATCGGGTGCAAAGATGGGAGGGGTGTTAGCAGGGGGAACTGAAGCAAACCATCGTCTGACTTCCTCAGGTTTGGAGTCGACACTGTCAAGCAGCTCCCAGTTGGCTCAGCAGCAATGGTGAAGGAGAAGGCCAGTATCTCAAGTGCTTCTCAGAGCAGCTGGGTGGTGCTGTTATATGGCTGACAAGTGTCCCTGTCTTCACGTAAGCAAGTGTCTCTACCAGTTCTTCCTTACCCACTTGCTTTCAGCCCCCTTCTTCCTTGACTTTGGCCTGACTTCTTTGAGGCTAATTAAAAGTACCACGGTAGCCCTGCTCATAGACTCGAGAGGCAAGTGATGCGGTAAGAACTCAAGGCTGACAAATTCAGAACCTCACTATAACGGTGAAACCCGTAAGGCTGACGATGGTGTGGATAATAACTGTCAAGGAGCCCAGTCGTGTTTCCTGCTGGAAATAATGTCCAGATCACCTGATGGCTCCATATACTCTGCCAAATAAACCATACTTACAGGAAGGGGCTTACTTTTTCATCACTTCATTCTAGACTCTAGTTTCCATGAACAGAATAAAGCTGGTACTCTCACTTGCTAGCACACCTGGGCAATAAAAATCAATCTAATATTAAAAAAAAAAATCCTCAAATTTAAGCCTGTAAATTTAATCACAGTTAGAAGTTTTTTTTGGTACCAAAACCCTCATGCTAGTCTAGATGAAACTAATGGTTTTTGGAAGACAGTTAATAAGCGGTTGTGATCTTTTACAAGGAAATGTGAAAAACCATGTGTGAAGACAATGACAGCAGTGTGTTATGGACCTCTCATTACTCACATGGTGCCTGCACTAGCAATTCTGCCAAATGCAAAAATCAGTGACCCCTGAAACAGCACAATTGATCCCACCTGCTGAGGCACATCGGGTGGTTTGCAGTGCATGGCACGTACCCCCCTCCTCCCCAGCACAGGTTCCCCATGCCTTTCTCAACTACTGTGTTTTAAACTCCCATAACCAGCACATATGGAGCTTGAATAACTGAACTACCTAACACTTTGACAGGAGGAGGTCCCATGGGTGTTTCGAGGCACCTTTTGAGACCTGTATGTGTTTCTTTCAGAAGTGGTGGATTTGCATCAAGTCTAGACCATTGCAAACAGCTTTTGTATCCTAAAGGCAGCAGTACTATTCTAGTGAGCATTAAAGGTCCTGGCATATGTTTCCTAGCCTGCTCATAGGGCTAACACAGCCCTAGGTCTTTTGTTAATTAAATCTGCAGAAGATTCTAGAAGCAGCATGGCTTCATATGACACATCTCTGCTAGAGTTACAGTTTTACTCTCCTAGCCATGTAAAAAAAACCCTCAACAGCTTTGCGCTCTTTTCTTAAGATCCAATAGTTATCAGCAAGGGAAGTGAGCATTTCAGGCTCTAGTAGTACCAAACCAAGTGGAGTGACGGCTTTATGTTCTCCGCTGTGTGTAAATATAAGAAGTTTCTGCTCTGTCAGAGACACAGGTTTTTTTGGGCTCCCCACTCCACCGCCGCGAGCATAAAGTGAGTCCTCTTCTCTCTACAGAAACTGGAGAATACAACTTCTTCCTGATATTCAGGAGGTCTAATCTGCTTCCGCTGTCAACTCACAGCTCTGAATACCAGATGAGGCACCAACTGCTCAGAACATTTTTCATCTTGAGCTCTACCTAAGTACAAACAGCCGATTCTATGACTAAACCAATGACCAGACAGGCACGGGGCGCCTCAGTCTGCCCTACCTGCGCAAGGATTTCATCCAGCCACGTAGCATGATGCTGTGGGTTGGCCAGCAGCCACTTGATAGCAGCGTTGTAAGCTTGCTTTTCATTTTCAATGTTCAGGTCACTGGAGGACAGGAGTTTATGGAGGTGCTGTGGTGACACGTTCACAAAGTCTTCACACTCCACCACTTCCGTAAAATGTTCACAAGCGTATTGATCAGCCATGTCCATCAAGTCAATGCGGTTGTGACTCTCTGCAAATGCCCTGACTGCCAGGCAGTTGGAGGGATGGAAGTGCAGCTTCATGTATTCGCAGCACGCCTTTGCTACCAGTTCTACCTGAAGAATGCAAGCGGCGTACAAGAGAGGCTGGACGTTATCCACTGTCAAAGTGAGCCGGGAGGAGTACACAAACTTCACCAGGTCTTCTATCGCATCGCCATCAAAGTCCCTGATCTCGATCAATGTCTGCTTGGCTTCAGCCATTTCCGAAAGAAACATTGCTCTGAAGTAAGGTATAGCACAAGCTAGTACCAGTTTGTGGCAGGAGATGAGCTTTGAACCAACCTGAAAAAAAAAGAGAAAGAGAACAAAAAAAACCTAAATCTTTTACTGGAACGTCAGTTTTGGCTATGATAGGACGGACACTGAAGCTGAAATAAGAACTCTGAACTCGAGTTACACTGAGCTACTGTATTTTGTTCAAACAAATTAACTCCATTTGCCCTGTACTCACCAGAGAAGGGTAAGGCCATAACACAAGGAAGCAATAGCACTGATGCACTGAACTTGCTTTTCTTTAAGAGCCATGTCCTGTTATTTTAAATGAAACATCCTTAGGAACCTTCTAGATGCATCTGGGAGACAGGAGGAGACTGCTAGGCACTTGTTTGTTTTCCGTGTATTCAGAGACTTTAAGGGGGGATGAAAATTGTAAAGTGACATTTTTAGACAACTGAATTTAAATCTCTGGACTTTTATTACTATTGAGGAATGGATATTGCTGTTAATTAGAGACAAATTAATGTAAAACAGCAGTAATAACAGCTATCACAGGAATTATGAAAAGTTTCCAGTCACTTCAAGTTTTTTAGAAGCTGTTTAGACACAAAAGGTAGAGCATTCCCCATAACGAGGGGGTATTTTTCAAAATTCTGATCAGAAAGTGCAAAATAAGTTTTTCATTTATAAAATTCTAGAATTCAATTACATTAAAAGAGAATGTATGTATTGAAAGTAAAGGAACCATCCACTACTTATTTGTGTTACAGGAGTGCTTTCTTACAGCCTTTGTCACTCTGAGTACACACTAACATAAAGGGATGGCCGAGTTAAGCAACCAGTTTCCCTGACAGACCCAAGTTACATGTTCATGTTCAGATGAAGGTGTTACAGTGTGCTGTCTTGCAATTTAAAATAAATAAATAAATAATAAAGGATGATTTTGAGTTTTTTCCAAGATCTGATTTAACCAACAATTTCTCTACCCTTTTTAAAAGTGTGTGTTATCAACACAAGTGTAACCTGCCTGGCAAGCAGTAAGTTGAGTAGAGAAAGCAAACACACGTGAATGAGTACGCTGATTAAAAGAGAAGAAAAGATGGATGGTCCAGTGTGAGTTAATTAGATCACTCCAGAAGGAACACGTGGCTTTAGTATTTTACCCAAATCTGCTTATTTTTAAACATCTAGCATGTTCTTGGTATTTTGAAATCACTTTCCCTACAGTTATTATTTTAAGAGCCAGCAGTTAAGTCAAGAATTGGTCTGACAACTGCAATGTCAGAATTGCTCACTATCAGAGATTATGCACAAAAGCAGAAAGTTCAGTGGAGGAGCAGTTATTCTGAAAACATGAGAAATGTCTAAGCACTACAGGAAGAAAAATCAAATCCTCCAGAAAATTCTAGTTCAAAATATAGTTATCTGTTACTTGAAAATCACTAATTTAGGAAGCCTTAGCCTTATGGTATGATGTACTCAGGTTGCTCTAGCCTCCATAGATAATATTCTCTACTTGAGGACTGAAAGCAAAGTCATGCAATCTAATGTTCTTAAACTACCGAAGTAGCTTACACAAATAATACAAATGAGTATTAACACAAGCCTAACTTAGGGAAAGTTAAACTGCAGTCACAGTAAAGTGCATTTTCCAAGCCAAGTTTCCATGGCAGTAGTATGTATATGTTTAACTCTATTTATAAAATAAGACTTTCTGCCTTTTTCGCAAGCGTTTGTGGAAATGGAGAAAGGCATGGATGAGGTCAAGAAAAGGGAAGAGGAGGGTTGTTACAAGTTGTGACATGAACATTCTTCCCCAAACTGCCTTCTAAAAAGACCTCATGATGAGCTCTTACGCAAGTTCTGTTTCATGGCTCTCGTGCTGTCTGGAGCCGCTTCAGTATTGTCACTCAGTGTCCTGTGAGCATTGACTCAACTGGGCCTGGTGGGCCACTGGACCTGTTCACTGCTGCATCTAGTGCCTGTTCAGTGCCTGGTGACAGGCAATTTAATATCTTGTGTGAAGAATATATTAAAATGTTCTTGCTTATTCTACTCCTGTTGTCCATTGGGGCAGAAGGGAGCAAAACCCTCTTCCTCTCAGAAATTTCCATTGTCTCCCAAGCGTTTAGAAAGGTGAGATGCCTATCTGAGGGGCAGCAGGGACACACATCTGTCAAAGATTTTCTCTGTTAATATCTAATAGTAAAAGTGGCAGTAAAACAATTTCTCCTAAAAGAATCTGTCATTTTTTCTTGGTATAGATATGCTTAATCTCTTTTTCTTAAGTAACTATCTTGGACTATTAAGATGTCTAGCTAAGCTATACTTACTATACTTACTATTTGTAGATGCTGGCAACCACTGTTAAGGATGCTAGATATAAATTTGTTGTAATCAGGATATAAGTAATACAGCTGAGTTACAAAGAATGCAATACTATGCAAGAATCATAAAACTGATTTCCTCCTCATCCTCCTTTACTCTTTAATCAGCTGTAGAACATAATTGCCTGGGTTTCTCTTTTTTTTCTATCTTTGAGAATGCTGGATTTGTTCCAGAAATTGTTTTCCAGGAAAGATCTAGCAGAACACCACAGAATGCAAAAGTAGAAATAAAATTGGAGATGAAATTGTGTGAGAACAAAGAAGGTACAAGGAGCTGAAATTGCACAGTAATATACTGATCAACTGTGAGAACCTGCTTAGAAGGCAAGTTGGGTGAGGTCAAAGACAGGTACCTCCTCTCTCGGATTGTCAATATCTTAAGTGTTTACATTTCAGTTGTAAACTTCCTAAGGAAAAAAAAACAACATAAGCTAGGGATTCCTCAGATCTAACAGGTATTCTATGGCTTCCATACCCTTGCCCAAATTCACAGCCAGCACACTTATTCGTAACTTAATCTTCAGACCATTAAATGCAATAGATGTGTGACAGTATCACCTTCAGTGTAACATCACAGAGCTCTCCAGCTTCGAAGAAGTGAAGGAGAGAGCTGTGAAAATCCTTCCAAGACTCATTTGCTTCAAATACAAAGATGTCATCTTCACCATCACTGTTGGAAGACCTAGTTTGCTGCTGCTGCTGTTGCTGCCGCCTTTTCCCCTTTACCCCATGTTGTTTTGCCTGCTCTGGGACCATGGATTCTGAAGCCATTGGCTGTTTCTTCTTACACTGCGTGAATCTTCAAAAAATCCTGCCAAGACAAAATCCAGCCCATCAGGAGTCAAGTCCTAAAATGCAGTTAAATTTTGTTCATCTTCCTGTTAAAAAAAACAAACGACAACACAAAAAAATGATGAGAGATCAGATACTGCTAATACATAACACTTTGATTACATGTTATAAACACTACCTATAATCTTACTTGGGGAAGGTGAGAGGAGAATAGGGGAAAAAAGACCCACTGCCAAGAAGCCTATGCAGGTACCTTTAGGAAAAGCCATTGTGAACTTGTTGCCCACTCTTCTTGAAAAAAACATGAAAAATAAAAGGCAAAGATGTATCTTCCAACATTCCTGATCTCACTGATGTGGATGGCAGAGGAATAGAAGGGGCATGGCCCACAGACAGCTGTGCTTCTTTGGTCCTTAAATAGCATCTCTCAGTGCTGTTGCCACAGACAGACTATTGATCTGACCACCAATAGGTATTTTGCACATACTTATTACTCAGTTTTCCAAGGTGTCTTTGTGAGACAGAGCTCTTTGTGAGCTTCTGCAGACCTAGAGAACAAGAACATACAGAAAAATCTTGGAATGAAAACTATTTCCTTTCATTTAGCAACCATATTGATCCAGCAGATTAATATTTAAAGCATGACAATGAGAAGCAAGTTTGTTCCTGGTTGCTCGCTTTTACTTTAGACGGTTTACCCAGCTTAGCTGAAGATTTTTAAGGTGTGTGAGATTTATACAGCTCGGACTAATGGAATCTTACCTATGCTGCCGTGACAGCTTTCCCTGGGCTGAAAGACAAATCAGGGATACCACAGACAATGGGGAGAAAGCTTTTTCTGCTTGTCACGCAAATATTTGACTCTTCCTGCTACTGTGTTAGGCTTCAGTTACGTTCAGCTTCAAGTCCAGCTTTTTATTTAAAGAAGAAAAAAAGTTAAGCAGTAAGGGAAGAGCAATTTTTTTCCCAGTTTGGTGGCATATTTTAAGTCTCAGCTCTGTGCATCTAAAAGCCATGAAAGCCAACTCAGTAAGATTTAGGCTGTGCATTCACATGCTAAGTGGAAGATTATGAAGTCCACAAGAAAAAATTAAATACTGTTTGAAAGCATGGAGATACTGACTCAGCTTACAAGCAGGAGTTCTGTTAGATTTTGGCAAGGGAAACAAATGGATTTGTAAGGTTTTAAGACAAAGTCTCTGGAGAGCACATTTAGCAGCATGTTCTTCTCTTACAAAATCATAGAATTGTCTAGACTGGAATCAGATCATCCAGTCCAACCATCAACCCAACACTGACAAAAACCATCACTAAACCATATATCCAAGCTCTATGTCTACCCATCTCAAATACTGCCGGGGATGGTGACTCAGCCACTTCCCTGGGCAGCGTGTTCCAATGCTTAATAACCCTTTCAGTGTAAAAATTTTTCCTAATATCCAGTCTGAACCTAGCTTTGGTTTTCATGTTTTCTGGTTAATTTTTTATGCATTCATTCATCTTTCTACACTAAGAGCTGATGCTTCCTGTAGTTCAGTGATTGCTGCTCACGGATTCTGGTGTTGGAGGAAGTGGACTGACTGAAGTAACAAAAAATTATTCTATAGTAAAAATGTAAGTCACATGTCTGGGAGCAGAACTCATTTTCTTCCGGGGTATTTGGAAAGTGCCTGTGCCTGGCCCAGTGCAGCCAACAGCCTCATCACTGCACAGGCCAAGCAAGTTAAAGTAAGATCAAACATGCATAGAATACTCACTAATGGTGCTGTAAGCAAGGTAAGCTTCCTTAGAGAAGGGTCTTATTTCTTCCAGAATCACAAATTAATTCAAAGATATTAGGGATCACGGGCTATTTATATAGTTCATAGCAAGGAATACCTTTTTCTGTTGAAAACTTAACTTCTATTATGCCAGATTTGACAAATTACTATACTAAGGTGTTTTTCTAGCTTGTTAGGAGGAAAAATCTTGATATTTTAGTTCTCCTAACTTCAAATTAATCATCCACAACTGGTACTCACCACCTTTGCTGTGTTTGACATGCCCTTCAAAGAAGTCACTACTACCATTGAGATATGAAGCTAACACAGAACTTCAGATGCAACCTACAGAAGTTACAAAACTTAATATAGACAAGCAAGAGGAAAAATTGAAATGCTGTACAAGGGTTTTGAAAAGCACCATGTATTATTCATTCAGAGACCAGATATAGCATCTTTAGCCTACACTTCTAGGTAACTCTTGCTTATTTTCGTCCTTAACTGACACTTACTTCACAGCTCCTTAGATACTCACACCTAACAGAATTTTTACAGCTGAGTAGAAATGCTGCTTACAGACACTTACAAAACACTGCCATGGCCACTCAAAACCTCAATAACATGTGCTTCCTTTTCATCTCAGCAATCATGTCTTCCAGCCTTCCTACAGTCCAGTATTTTGACAACACTGAAGAGTGTAAGTGACCATCCCAGAAGTTGACTGACTCTAAAGAAACTAAAGGAAGTGCCTCATTCATAATAACATCATCTGTTATTCCTGGTAGACAGCTGCTTGACACTTTCTCTGAAGGAGTAACTGTCTGAATTAAAAAAAAAACAATCCACACATTGTTTATAGCTCACCATTGTTTGCTGAGAGCAGGCCAGCAATTTTTTTCTTCAAGTTAAATATTTAGAAATATTGATGGTGTCTGCTGTTCCCAGAGTGTAGCTGTTCCAGACCCCAGAGCTGATGTTCTGGTCCTCAGTGCTGGTCCTCAGGCAAGGGACAGAGGATCCCCTCCTAGCTACTCCTCACTATCAAACTTAGAAAAGCAAGTAGGGATGGCAGGTCAGAGCACAAGCATGTTATCTTATATCTGCTGCAATTCAGGTAACAGTAAAATCCTAAAGTGAAGAGCTTTTGATTCAGATATTCTATCTAAATCTGAAACTGAATTAAGCGTAAAATTCCTCAAGTCACATAGAGTAATTATGTTCAGCAGAGGTAAAATACCTCAAATAATTGTGAAGCAAAAATAAACACAAGACATTAGACAGTGGCAGGACATGAATCAACATCACTCTGTTTTCCTGTCATGAAATGAAACCCCAGGAATCCTGGCCAACAGGCCAACCTAGACGTTGGAGTACATGGCCTCCTCCCCTTGTCAGGTACCTCAGGAGACAGTGCTCCAGAAAAAGGGGATTGTTCTCATTCTTCCACTGGCATAAAGGATGAAGACGTTTCAGTGATACAGAACAGAAACAAAATGAAGACTCCCGCTATGACCCCAGCTAGGCAGTGTTCAGATGAGAGGTGTTATGATACCTGTAAATCCAATGCTCTTTGTGAGCAGTGGTACTGAAGCTGGAAAACAGAAGACAGATTCACTAACTATCCTGTATATAATTTTGATTACCCACACACTAAACGAACAAAGAAATCACATTATGATCTGTGCAAAGAAGGGCAGTTAGCCCCACTCAGAAAACAGAAGGGCTTTTTAACTGAAGGAGACGAGAAATTTGCCTTCTGTAAATGCAAAGTTTGTAGCCCTATGAGCAGGGAGGTTTTGGAAGCGAGTACGAACAGACTGCATGCATATAAATACACAGGTTTGTACATGTGGCTGTGTAAAACTAACTTGTCTAATACACAGACTGATGAGTCTCTGTCGGTAATTATATGCTGGAGTTGCTGACCACAAGGTTAGATAAGCATATGCAGTGACAAAATCTTCTGAACTTTAATCTAGCTAGCAAAACAACTCTAGCTGTTGTCCTGTGTTGTACTAAGAAAACTTGAACATTTGAAAAGAGGGCAGCTGGCAGAGCTGAGGAAGAGACGGAGGGAGAGAAGTGGGAAGACAGGAGGCAGCTGCAGTGCAAACTGCGGCCAAGCAGCAGCTTTGGCGGGGACTGCCCAAGCAGCTATTCACTGGGTACAGCTGCGTCACCAAGAAGGAACATTGGGGGGAAAAACTGGTAGACAAAATAGTGTAGAAAAACCTCAGTGGTCTCCCCTTCTCCATTCGCCAGTTCCATCAAAGGAGTTATGGAAACTTCATGCAAAACTGCTCAGATTCCCATGCTAATTAGGTCAAATCAGACAAGGTTGGAAAACATGGGAATGTTCAAGTTACACGCTGTATTACAAGCCCAACCTACTGTACTTTTCAGCAGAAAGTTAATTTAGCAGAAAAAAAAAAATAATCAGAAACCACACATCTAACTGGTTTAGCTTGTTTAAAACCACCAGGCTTTCTTTTGTTCATAAAAAATTTTCTTAGACAACACTAACAGAAAATTTCAAGACCCTTTCAATATTTCAAAGATTCTTTGTAGCAAAAATTGACATGTATTATTATTTTGTGTTACTTGTCACACAGGTAGTTCAGAAAACAGTGAAATGGGTATAGCTGGCACCATCTTTCATCTGCCTCTATAACGAAATGCTGTAGACATACAAGTAGTGAACGAGGACTGCTCCTTCTTGGAAAAATGCAACAGAAAAAGCACAGAAAAGGTGTTTTGTACAGCATGAAAAGCATAGTCAGATAAAATCTCATTTTGGAAATAATTCTGCCTGGCAATCCCTTAATTCTGTTTTCAGACAACTTCTTCCCTGCTTCCAACAAAGTTCTACTGAGGCTTAATACAAGTTTCCATTGAACACCAAAAAGGCCAACCATCTCAAGGGCTTTAAGGAATGAAAGGTTGACAATTTTTTCAGTTTTGCATAACCAGAACCAAAAAACCTAATATGCCATGATTTATGCTTGATTTACTTTTGCTTCAGAACAACCACCAAAACCCATCAGAAGCCCCAGAACAGTGAAGAAGGACTCTGCTTTGCAGGTACAGGTGTACTTAAGAAGTAATTTATTTATGTAAGGTAACCTTGGGAATATCCAAAAAACAGCCCATGAAAGAAAAAACACTGCAAATCAGTGCAATTCTTGGCAGAATAGTAAAGTGTTGACAGATATGTAATAAAAATTTTAACTAGTACTTTATGTTCATAAGAACACAGAACAGGCCTTTACCAAGGAGGGGCACTATTCTCTTCTCTGATGGACCTGATTCAAAATAACAGTATTTTAATGGTCTCCACAGCAGTGTTTATTCCAGCCCTTCCTGGGAAGTTAAGGGACAGCAAAATAATTTCTAAGTCATTTGCCAGCTGCCCTTTACCCTGGACGTGTAATTCAAGGCCCGGTACCCTCCAGAGCATCCCAGAGCTGCACCAAACACCGTTTCCCACACACCTACCAGCCCCACCCTTGCAGGGCTCTCTGCCTTTAGCTGCCAACCATCATCATATTCTCTTGTCTAAAGCCACGATTCACTGAGGCTGAAGTTACACTCACAAGTCAAACGGCTCAAATGACAAAGCAGTATCACCTTCCTTTTGTCCCAGAGCTGTAAATGCTCCTTCAAAATCTGTTTGAAAGCAGGAGAGGCGCAGAGGTAATACAAGATAAAAGGCTGCACAACCCAAGACACTACTACTATTGATGCAAGAAATTATTATTGCAAAAATCTGTTTGGTGAAGCCTGTTGAGGAAAAACTAAGACACTGTCTAACATGATGCTATGCTGCCTTGCATGAAATTACTGGCAGTAATTACACAATGATTGCATCTGCTTGTGACCACACTGATTAAACTTGTTTTTACAAATAAATGGCCAACTAGAAAACTGGATACCTGGCTACTGACATCTCATTAACAATTATAAAATAAATCAGGTCATGAATACATTGCTAATCACATGCTGCACAGCAACTACAGGTACAATGTTGATGTTACAAAGTGGAAACACTTCTTGCATAGCACAAGAGTTCACACAGAGGTTATAGAGGAATCCACCAAAACTACTCAAAAAACCTCAGGCTGAATTGCTAAAAGAACCTTTCACAGCTTAACCTCTGTTACAAGCAATTAAAGCTGTATGTGACACAACCATTTTGGTTTTAGCTTGTTAACATTTGATGAGCTATTCCACCAGCTGTAGCACTTGTCTATAGTCACATGTGTGAACTGTTTCTTCATTATGCTTCCAGAAGGGTTTGCAAGAGGCAACAGAACAGAACACCAGGTATTTCTGAATTTTATAACTTTTACTACTGCAGAATACATAGGAATGACTAGCCAAAGGTGGAAATGCAGATCTATAAACTAGAAGGGTGCCTATTTGGTTTATGAACTACCTCCGCACCCCTTATGGATAAGAGCTTGATTAACTGGTAATTCCCAGCAGCCAGTAAGCAATCAGCTTGGGGGGAGATATGAAGGTGGAACCTACCACAGCTGGAAGGAAACTCAAGTAGGCAATATAAAGAGCTGATAGAGTTACAGCACCCGAAATTCTCATTTGAGAAGGAAGGAGAGGTGAGAGAGCTCCTGAGGCTTTCCTCAGTAGCACCAGGTAATTTCTTGCTGGTTTTAAACAAAAAATACTTGGTCGGGGGTAACTCAAGTAACTTGTTATCTATCCATTATGAGCTATCAATAGTAACCCGACCAGGATACCAGTTTTTGGGCTGCGGTCTCCACAGTAGTGAGTTAATGCAGCGCTTTGAAAGGCGTGGGCTCCTGGCTGGGTTTATCCGCCTGGTTCTGTCCCTGAGGCAGCCGAGCGCTGTGAGGGCTCCAGGGCAGCCCCCCGGAGAACGAGCTCTGCCGCCCAGGGGAGGCTGGCCCCGGCAGCCCGCCGCCTCCTCTGCTCCTGTCAGGGGCGCAGTCTGGCCCTGGGCGACTTGCACCGATTCTAGGTTAATTTACAAGAAATCCGCGCTCCGTTTGGGTCTGTGAAGCCGGTCGTGGCAATAACCCTTAGCAATGAAAGGGAGCGGGGCCCGTTACCGCCCCCGCGGCTGAAGGAGCGGCCCTACCCACCCTCCGGCTGCCGGCGCCCTGTGGGAGGGCGAGGGCCGTTTCGGGGGCAAGAACGGAGGGGAGGGGAGGGGGTGGAAGGGTCAGGAGGAGGAAAAACCATCCCGCCCGCCCACGCCGGAGCAAGCGGGGCCGCCCGCCGCCGCACTTCAGGGGAGGGGGTGAGTTACATAAAGGCAGGGGCAGCCCCCCGTGGCGGTGGGCCCTGACCGAGGCGGAGCGCGGTACGGCGGGGGAAAGGCCCGACGACTAGGACCAGAGACCCGCTTCCTTCCCCCTCCCCCCCCTCACCTGCGGTGCCGCCGAGAGCCGGGG